AAGTTATTGATTTACTATATCATTTGATTTCATGTGTTTATCTATGATTGAATAAAAAAATATTTGTTGAAATCATGAGTCAATCATTATCAGAACACCATTAGAAACTATGAGGCTCTGAATGGCCGTTTCTTCCAGGTGAGGGACTCATCAGCAGTGCGCATCCACGACTCTTGCGAGTCGCAGGATTTGAAACCAGGACCTTCGGACTTGCGCGCGAACGCCTAACCATTGGAACACAGACGTGGTATCCAACGCTGTTAATGGTTAACTTTGATCGACACACTGTCATGCGCTGCCTCATACATTGTCTTCGGTAGTTACTGTCTACGCTCAAACAGGGTTGAACTCCACTAGTCACGACTTCTACTACCATACCAGGACGGAACGGTCTTACAGTGCTTCCAGGTTTCTAATGGTGTTCTAACATTCATCGATCCATGATTTCAATAAGTAACTCAACAATCTTCACAATCTCATAATCAAAACCGGTATTTCCCTCAATGAACTTTAAAAAAAAAACATATTTACCCACTTTAAAAAAATAACAAACAATAAACAGATATAACAGATTACTTTCATATTTTCATTCATACCTAGTTATCGATTGAAAACTTAATGTTTTAACGTTGTTAATCCCTTTATAATTTCATGTATCACTAAGGCATCAACCAATAATTATAATAATCAATATCAAGCTTCAACATTCTATGAGAAAAATAATATTTTCTTAAATCCAAACAACTTTTCATTAACATACAAATAATGCAAACATTATCAAATACCTGATAGAAATCTGTACATTTCATTTAATTAACATAACACTTTTTTTTAGTATCGATAAACTGTATTGTTTGGTTTTTTCTGAGATATAGATTATTATCATGCCAAAAAAAAATAATTTTCAATAATTTCAAATTAAGCATATACAAAAAAAATACACAACTAATATTTATGTTTATCTCATTCTGTTTATAGAGAATGGAAAGAAGTTTTATTAGCTAACTATTGACAGTGTAATCTATAAATCATTGAAAATACTACACTGCAGTGAAGCACCAAATCGAATATTCATAGCATTGGATAAGTAATTTTTTTATCCTATCGACTTTTAACAGAAACAAAATTTAGAAAATGACTTTTAATACAGAGAGAGAAATATATTTTCTTACAAAATTCATCAAAATAGAAAACAGTTACATATAAAGGAATCAGTAAAAAGTACACAAATTTAAATGAATCAGAGTAAAATTGATGAGGTGAACTATACTCACTTAAACTTCATTTTATAGCATTCGAGCATGGTGTAGAAGAGTTTCAGCGAGGGTAGATACTTTTGAAAGTATTGTGTTCGCCGATCTAGATGATTTGACCAAAGAACTTTCATTGAACAATATATTTGACGACTACTTCATTTAGAAATGAGCTTTCCATCTATTTCACAAATGTTTTATCCGTTTATTCTGATAGACTTCTTTGTGAATGATTATTGTCGTGTATTCCTATGTACACCTCAACTAACTATTGACCGTGTAATTTATTTGTTGCATAGATGAGGTCTATGTCAATTGGTAATAGACGACATCGCTGTGTTTTTTAGAGATTTTTTAAACATTACTCAAGTTTATACGATTTATACGTTTATACGTTTCATCAATAAATTTATGTCTGTCATTGTCTAAGTGCATTGATATAAACGATCACAATCATGTCGCCTCGGAAATAGATATATTTTCAGTTTAACCTTTGGAGATTTGTGTTTTTACACATTTGAAACAATCAATTAATCATTGTTAGACCACCATTAGAAACCTGGAAGCACTGGAAGGTCCAGTGGTCCGATGGTTAGGCGTTCGCGCACAATACAGAAGGTCCCGGGTTCGAATCATGTGGCGTACAGGAGTCGTGGATGCCTACTGCTGATGAGTCCCATACCAGTCCCCAACCAGTGCTTCCAGGTTTCTAATGGTGGTCTAACAATGATTGGTTGATGATTTCAAATAGATAAATGCCTATGTTTGAGCAGATAAAAATAGATAGTAAAAATCTCACTTTTAGTGAAGCAGTCAATGAACATATTGTTCATTGTGACAACGAGAGCTCCTCAGTCAGAACATCTAGCTCACAAAATACAACATTACACGAATAGATCAATAAATAGTCGTCAATAGATCATTTTGTCTTGTGTATAATCCAATCTTTCTTCCTTGAAATCTAATAACTTAGTGTTCATGAAACTTGATTATTTACAAATCTCAAAATCAACTAATCAACTGAATAGTAGCTAAAGACAACCAAAAATATTATATTATAAAAATATTATAGATAACTGAAAAATTAAAGATTTAAAAAACATTTTTTTCAATGTAGAATTCACCTAATGTTAATAGGATAACAAATTTTTAAATCATGAAATGTTGTATACTGTATAGTTCCAAATATGTACAACGATTTCAGGCAAAAGAAATTTCAACCATTTTATTGGGTGATAACAATAGTTTACTAGGTAGATTTGAATATATTTTTCACAGTTTTCAAAACGACATCTGATAACCAGATATAATGTTGATAATTTTCAAGAAATAAAGATCAGTAATAATCATAGGACAAAAAAAACCCAACTTTATGACTTTTTCAAAAATAAAACTTATTCAAAAATGAAAATTCTATTATTGCTAAATATTGGCTAAAGAGAGCCTTCATTTCCATAATAATAAAAAATAGTAATAACAATAATAATAATAACAATAGGGCAAACTGAAACTTATTTTATATAAACTGAAAACACATTTGCTCACACTATAACATCACCTAAATATTGAGGTCATTTTGAGGCGAACATTAAAGCATAACCAGAAAATAACTTAAAAGTAAAAAAAAAAGAAAACTAAGGATAAGAAATGAAGACAAAAACATTTTACAACAGGCTTCTTTTTGTTCATTTTATCATTACAATGTTAATTTGTGAAAAGATAGAAATTCAAAAATTACCTTGTTAAAATAAAGTTTGTAGATCATAAGGAATTAATGGCTGTTGATAATATCGAGAATGATTAAAGAAAGGCGGAACAAGAAAGCAGCAATCAATATCAGCCGAAAAAGGTCAGAGCAAGCTAAGCTACAAGCTGGATGCTCAGGATCAAACAAGAGAGTTGAGTGAAGCATCAGAGCTGAGAAACCTAAATATTTTGAAGACCTAGCTATGATAGCGGAAAAAGCTGTACGAGAACAATATATGAAACAACTATACAACACAACAAAGAGGCTCTCTGGGAAATATCGTAAACCATAATAACCGGTGAAAAGCAAGGAAGGCGCAATAATTACCAACTTTCAAGGACAGCTAAAAAGGGCGGGTTAAGCACTTTGAAGAACTCTTTAATCGACCAGCCTCACTGAACCCACTCAACATTGAAGCAGCACCCACCGACATCCACAGTCAGCGTTGACCACCAGTGTGGTGTGACCATCAATGTAGTCATTAGACAAATCCAGAGCAGCAAAGCAGCGTAATCTGGCAACATTCCAGCCTAGGCACTGAGAACAGACGTAGCAGTAGCTGCAAAGATTTCGCATACTCCGTTCAGCAAAATTTCGTATAACGAACACTGGAAAAAAAGATACCTCATCATGCTATCAAAGAAGGGAGATCTCAGGAAGTGTGTGATCTAAATAAGCATCAAGACAAGTGGTAAACAGTGTGTTACTGAACTGAATGAAAGATTCAGTAGACACCCAACTTTGATATAAGAAGGCTGAATTCCATAAAAGTTGATCGTGTTCCTACTCAATCGTGGCACTACGGATCGTTGTGGGACTGAATTTCGTAGAAGTTCTAGCTCTTCCATCCCACTTCAACATTATTGCAGGTGAGGTCGATCAGTGTAGCAGACTTTGTGGCATTAGGCCTCAATATTCATTACGCCAAGAATTGGTAGCAGACATAAAAAGGATGAACAGCAGTTGGGTAGAACTGGAAAAGAATGTCAAGAACATAGTAGTTTGGAGAATGCTGTTGGTGGCCTTTACTTCATTTAGAGTAGCAGGCAAATGTAAATAAGCAGTACAACTGTATTATATTAATTTAAACATTTATCTCATTAACATTCACGTTTGTCACTAAAACAACACTTGTGATTGATTTTGTAAATATTATCACAATAAGTAAATAATTTTAAAAGTAAATCTGAAAACCTACATAATGAAACATAACTAAATGATCGTATTATCCTCTGGGCAAACATAACTTTTTATTTGGCAAAAATTCTTTAGCTATTTACAAGATTTATATTACACATACTGACTTCTGTTACAATCGAAACCTCATAGATATAATTACGCAGTATGAGAGAGTAATAGCTTGTGTATTCTTCCATAATGTGTCTCATTCTTTATTTTCTTTAATAATGAATTGTTTAAATCATTTGATGAGCTATGTTTTGCGGTGTAGTAGTAGATTGGAAGAAAGTCAGGGGCGGCCTAACCAAAACATGTCAGAAATTCATGAAGTCTTTGACAAGTGAACTGAGTCATGTAGGTAGGTGTCGACTACCTGGTTGAAGTCCGCGAGACGATAGTACTCGATAGTTTGGGACCTTGAACGTCATGGCTGAAAATCGTTTTCAATGGCGTAGGTGCAGTCATTCTTTGTGTTCTCTCGAATTCTAACCTCATCTCTACCTTTCTCTTTCTAAATTTATCTCACTGAATTATACTTCTCAAATCATTACTGCTTATACTTCTACTATCTCTACCACTGTTGGATTTGAAGTGACAGTTCCATCTCTATGCTGTCGAGGTATGGCAGCCTGAACTTATTTACTCATGTACAAAGTTCTACGATGTTCGTGACGACTGGTTGACTGACTAAATCACTCGATTGTCGATGAATGTTAAAATCATGTCTAATATTACTTGTCTAGTTAGCATTTATTTTCTACTTAACTCTTTTAAAAAAACTTAATTCTTTTTACTGTTATTTTTTTCATATCATTACATAGATTCGCTTCCGTCTTCGGCTGCCTTGTACTAAGTGTATTATCTACAATCAATGAGTATGCAGAGTCAGCAGGACGAGCTTTACTTTACATGGTAAGAAATATTGTATTTATCTATTCGATTTTTTTTTTCGGAATGCTTTCAGTGTTTTATTACTATACAAATACTAATGATAACTTCATATTAACGTTTTTCTAATTCATGTTGGCCTGATATTAATTGTAGATAAATATTTTTTAGCAACTTAGATGTAGAGAAAGACTGATTAACTGATTAGAACAACTGAGAGCCCCATATAATTTTCGGTCTATAAAAATTTTCATGACTCACAATAGTACTGTAAAATAATGAGACTTAGAAAATTGTTGAATTGGTCAATACGCCCAGAGTATTTATACTTCTAGTTACAACTGATTATTAAGCAGGTTAGTAATGAAGTAGCATAGGCGTTTAGCATGTGAAAAAAACAAGTTATTCGAAAACGATTACCTCTCTAGTTTAAAGTAATAGATAAAATCATGGTATTACAATCGAGCAGTAATATTCCAACTACCATTCTCAGGTCAATATTGACCCTATTAATAGTATACTTGTTTTTAAGAACTGGTCGCGCTTACAATAATATCAACATTTTAATGAGGGCTAAGATATCAAATATACATTAATAATGGTTAACCACTATTGTTACTGTTGTAACCAAATACACTTAGTCAGAATTTAATTTTCGTTATTACTGGCAGTGATCAACCACCTCTTCGTCTGATCAAAAGCCCAGTGAAAATAAATATCAAAACTTTAAGATCTATACCATTCTCGATATTATTTTGGATATCATTACTGTCACTTGGTAGACTTCATCAAGAATCGATGACCTACCGAAACAAACAGCAGTCAGTAGATAATTCGTTCTATTCCAAGAATCTTCATTAGTCACAGCTAATAAGATCTAAAACATTTGACTCTCATGCTAATCTTCATAACTACAGACTGTTGATTTAGAATCCAGTGTTTCCCTTTGACACTATCATGTAGTTTTATCGATAATGACTATGTCAGACCAGAGGTCATTCTTACTCAGATTTTCAGGATACGGCTCAAAAATAATCACTATTAATTATTCAACTACTATTTAGCTGAGTGGATTGAGAAGTTATATTTACAAGTCATTTGATTTGCATTAAGCCATGCAGAAGTACCCTGTCAGTCACTGAACTTGATGTTTTCCAATATGATTAATATATTGTAGCGGATGGGTTCATTAGAGGAGTCCCAGCTGCACCATTGTTCTTCTTCTCACAAAACTTTCAGAAAATATTAGACACACAACAAACAGCGTATTCATAATTTATTGATTTTCAAAAATTATTTAACGATGCAATTACCATTAGTTTATAAATTGAAAACCAATATTAGAAATTGAAAATAACTGACGGATTTATATCTTCCACTTATCACAATGTAACTATGTATTAAATATAATTATTTTGAATAATACTGTATTCAAGAAAGTATGTCAAATCGTTAAGAATGTAAAAGGCAAGAAAAGATCGTGATATAAAAATACTTTAAAAAAAAGAACGTGACAGATTAGGTTCAAAGTCTAAAAACATATTCACTATGTTTGCTATTAAAAAAGGATTCTTATTGAACAGAGATTCAAATGTATAGTAGGGTAGTTAGATAATATAGGAAAATATTTTATGTCATACCGAACTAAGTTAGAATGATTTAATTTGGGGACAGAAGAATATCAGTTAGCTTGATTTTAGTGACCTTGGAATTGTAGGTTAAAAGAGAATACTAGTTAATTTTTACATAAATTTTGTAAATGTTATTACCATTGAAAAGTGAAGTTATGTGATGAGAATCTTTTAATATTATCGAATTATTGAAGATGAAAGCGTAGATAATACACTATATCTCTTCCTTTTATAACAGAAAAAATTTTTTAGTAAAACTTAGTGTTCATTGCTGTCAGATCGTAATGAAAACTGTCCTACAGGTTGATTATCAGATCACTGCTCTGTACCACTGAGAAACTAACGAAATTAGATTAAACGTTTACTAGCTAGCTAGTTAGTTGAAATTAATGACTTGTGCATACTTTGTCCTTACAATTTACAAGCATAAGCATTTATTTTCAAGACGTTTTTTGAAAAATGCACCATTCAGAGAAATTACTGCATAAATTTCCTCATTGTATTTCATGACAATATTAACTAGTAAGACTGTTTTATTGACAAACAGAAGTTATTACCTTATTTTCGGGCAGTTTCGGAGGTTTGTGTTTTTCTACACATTTGAAATCATCAATCAATCATTGTTAGATCACCATTAGAAACCTGGAAGCACTGGACGGCCGTTTCGTCCTGGTATGGGACTCATCAGCAGTGCGCATCCATGACCCCTGCACCTCGCAGTATTCGAACCCAGGACCATCGGGATTGTGCGTGGACGCCTAACCATTAACACCGTTGGATGCCGGCCCAGTGGTCCGAGGGTTAGGCATTCACGCACAACACCGAAGGCCCCGGGTTCGAATCCTGTGGCGTACAGGAGTCGTGGATGCGCACTGCTGATGAGTCCCATACCAGGACGAAACGGCCGTCCAGTGCTTCCAGGTTTCTAATGGTGATCTAACAATGATTGATTGATGATTTCAAATGTGTAAAAATATGATGTTATTACGTAAACAAACTTGAAACATTTCTGACTAATCTTACCACTCAATTTACAAGACATATGGAAATTTAAATACGCTATGATATCACAAGAATTAATGATTATTACTCTTTGATTTTAAAACAATATAAGTGAATATCTGTAAATTAATGAAAATTCCCGTAATAACATACCATAAAAGGTCAAAAAATGAAGTGCGAAGGCAATCAATCTGTTAAAGAACTGGTGATATATTTGATGATATAACACATAACTGAATTTTTTTCAGAAATTCAAAAAAAACGAGGGATAAAATGGGATTAAAATGAACTGAATTGACAACTTGACCAAGTAAGTTATATTAACAGCAAACAAAAACATACTTGTGCGAAGAAACGCAAACACCTGAGCCAATATGAAGCGACTGGAACGAATATGTAAATCAATCGCTAGAAAATAATAGTTTACAACAAACATTTATCACAGTTATTTGTTTGATCATTTGGGAAAGTACCATTATACATAAAATTTTCAAGTTATGGATTGTTCGTGAATGTATATCTATAAATTTATATATTTGTAACTGATGACAGTCTACACTCAGATCTATTGATCTGTTTGGAAAATTTGTACGAGTTTACTGTGGAACACAAAAAGCTTTCTATTACGTAATATTTGATCGTATTCCTAAGAGAATTTTTTGATTGATTTCGTAAATTCAGTGAAATTTTTGTGTACTCATTGATACCGTACATTCAACAAAAGGGTTTATTGTACTAATAATGGGTATGTTCAGATTTTAGTGAGAACTGGAATAAAATCACATGTTGTTTTTCGTTAAGAAGTATGACAGATATTTTTATCAAAAAGGAAACCTATAAATTCGTTGATCAAAATTTCCATTTTTATATTCAAGATATGACTATAAGAATTATAGATAACGTATTTATTTTACAAACGTGTTAGTTGCCGATAAGTTCGAAATTTCAGTTTTGATAAACTCATTTGTTTATCTATTATACATTTTCCGAAATCATTCAAAAATATCCGCAGATATGAATGACGTAATGGAAATAGTAACGCAAAAGTGAGTAGACCAGAAATGATGGGCGAATAAAAACCAAAAGAAAAAACGAATATCAATAAGCATGAATAAATTAAAAAAATACTAATTCTGATCATAAGATGTAAGGGCCAAATATATTAGGATGTTGGAGAAAATTTGTAGCTCAGGTTGATGATTTTGATGGTTTTTCGTTCTCTGAGCTGGATGTTTTGGATGTTGTGGAGTTTTCATCGCTCTTCTGCTGAACAACATCATCAGCACAAACTTCAGATAGAAGTGAAGTATTCGATAGGTTTAAGATTAGCAGCAACCACTCAAGCTCGCGGTTAGCACAACAAGCTACAGGTCAAACGTGGAGAAATTCCAATACTTCGCTTCTTTTTGAAGTTTGTGCTGATGATATTGTTCAGCAGAAGAACAATGAAAGGCCCACAACCAACACATCCAGCTCACAGAACGAAACACCACCACAAAAGTAATATTTATTTATAAATCATACAATTTGTCAGCTGTTCATCTTACCTATTTCATGTTGGTCCCAGTGGAAAACATGGTTTCATAACATTTCTCTTTATCAATTATAAAAATTGACATATCTTGAACAACTCACAGTGTAAATTGCCTTTTTTATTCACATTCAGGTACTAGTTATTCGATTGTAATAAAATGCAAGGAGCATAATTTTTTGTTTATCAGAAAAAGTTTCTCGATATGCATTGAGATAATAAGTGTAAAAAAGTCTTGTAAAGATGGTGGAGAAAACTTGTAGCTCAGGTGGATGACTGTGGTGGTTTTTTGATAGAAGTCTAGAAGTCTGTCTGAAGTTTGTGCTGATGATGTTGTTCAGAAGAACAATGAAAGCTCCACAACCAAAACAACCAGCTCAGAGAACGAAAAACCACCACAAAGTCTTGTAAAACATGAACTGATTAATTATTGTATCTGTTCAACATAAATATGTAACAAGGAAATAGAAACTTTTTGTCATTGAGCAAAAAAACTATCGAAACTTTTTTTGCAAATAAAGTTAATAAAACACTTATTTATTCATGATTACAGCTAATCATTAACACCTAGAGTTATATTGAATCTTGACAAGTAATTGAAATATTGAAATGAAGTATCGTAAAATTTAATTTATTTAGTTTAGAATTTATTTACAGATAATTTTCTAGTCTCATAATCAGTTGGACTAATTCATTTACTTATTAAGGATATGGGTTTTTGAATCGTATTTTACTTCTCATGTAATGATTTATTTCGAATTCTCAGCTACAAAATGAAAAAAAAAACAAGTATAATAAGTTTGTAAATTGAAAAAAGTAACTTCTAAAGTAGATGTGATAGATATTGAAAGTTTATAATTTATTCTGAACGATCGTAAAATTGTATGTATTTGTTAAAATGTTATTATTTATGTATCAGTAAAATTCTCGAGTCTTCTTTGAACATTGAGAAAATTAACTGTCTATTCAAATTTCAATCTTACATGGAGAATTTAAGAGCTTGTTTTAATTGAAAAGTATGTAAAATAACGTATGTAAGGAAACTAGATTATTATCATGCGTCATGCGCAACTCAAAATTTCATTAGCATGAGCATAAAAAACCAGTTTGACTCGTTAGTTATCCAGCCTTTTACATTATATGATGTAGGTATTCTGTTAAGCAAGAAATCAACATGACATGTAACTATTTCATGAATAATAAAATGACAACTTGTGATATAGTTGATTTTAGGCAGAGAAAAATGTAGGAAACATTCTGTTGCAGATTGGTCAACTTCTTGTAAGCAGAATTAAATACAGATAAAAGCAATCTACCCCACTAAGAGACATCTGGATTAGAAAGAATTTTGATGAATGGAATATCAATCGCTGAAACGGTTGAGCAGATCAACCTCTTCCTACAGAAGATTTTAATGACCCGAAATCTGACTAGAATTTAGGTGAACGAATAAATGTGCTAATGAAGATAAATTTTTCATTTAATTTTATATAATCCCGTTTGTTGTGACGGTGGTAACGAAAAGAAAAATACAGATTCACTTGGATAATTTTAATTCATGCGATCATTTACACAAACAGACATGGGGATAAGAAGCGAAAAAGCGAAGCAGAGTGAAGAATAGAAGGGGAGCCGATCAGCGAGTCAGTCAGTCAGCTAAACGTAGAGCTTCGTACGTACTTACATCAGTTTAAGTGATCATACAACAATAGCACACAGAGACGCAGTTGTCAGTTCAAATCCCATAGTGACAGATGTAGAAGTACTCACAGGAATGTAGGCGATCAGGGTTCGAAGAAATTATTCAAGAAGTAAAATCAAGTAAAATAAATTTAAAAAGACAAAGATAAGGGTGATGTTTGGATCAGTTTGTGATAATGAGGTATGACTACTTATGATCAGACAAGAATAAGCTAGACACGATAATTGAAGTATGTGTTACACATGCGCTCAAATAACTGACAAGATGAAAACGCATGATGATGATGATGATGATGATGATGATCTCAAAAACCAAATTATTAATTTGTGTAAAAAAATTACTTAACCTGCCAGTTATCATCTTAAAAACATTTGATTTTACACTTTCATTCAAATTTGAATGATAATTTACCAAACCTAGTTTATTTAATATTAACACCATAAATATTGTCTCGGATATATCTCTATCTAGTGTGTCAATGGTTAATGTTGGTTACATTGTAATTTTATTTATGTTTCAAGATTATATTAGAATGGTCTTTAGTATGTTTATAAATGTACCGAATAAATATTAGTTCGAATGTGATACAGAACACATTTAATGTTATTGCAACACTTAAATTTTTATAAGTGATAAACAAAACATTATCTAGCCATAGACTGATCATTCAAACAGTTTCATTAATGTTTCGTTGATTTAAAATATCGATTTCGGAAATGGAATTTTGTTCATAATCTCTGTGGTCAGTGTAATTTATACTTGGTTTAATTATAAAGAGGTAATTAGTTTCTGTATACATGAAGTAAATCTAATTAGTTATATGATATTTATATATGTAGATGCAACAAATTTATTTTTAATCTAATATATAGGCATGTTTGATTTACTCATTTCAATGTGAGTTTGTGAATACGACCGACAATCACATCAACCACAATCGTAGTTTTACGCCAACATCACAGTGTTTAGCTATTCGATTGGTTTTACGTTTTATTTAACAAAGTGTAAATACTTTCGTTGGTTGATTTACGTGAATAATATGAAGCTTTGTTTTAACATTACAGTTTTCAAAATACGATCATGTATTACTTTTTAGTAATTAATTAGTAGCATTAACTGGATCTGTTTTGAAATTGATTAGTTTTCATTGAATCATAGCTGTCAGTTGGTTCAAATTAAGACAAAAATAGTATTTTAACCATGCTGTTCAGACAGTTAAATGAATTGAATTGTTTTATCAGGTAATACTCTCTCCTTATCTCAATACAAACAACGTGGCTAAAAGGTTTATTAATTTTGTTGTGTGTTTGTGACAGAATTAATTCATTAATGCACTTGAATTTTGAATCGGTTTCTCATTTATTATCCTTTCCTGTCAAGGAACTTGTAATACTATTTTGGTTTTTTGCGGAATATTGTCTACGTCTATGGAGTGCCGGTTGCCGATCCCGATATCAGACATGGCGTGGAAGGTTGCATTTTGCAAGAAGACCATTCTGTATTGTAGGTAAGTTATGTTGTTGTCAGTGAAGAGTTTAAATTTTAAGAAAAATGAAACTCCGTTGTTACATTTTGATTACGATTCTTATAATAATGGTACTCGTTAGAACCTGGTTGATGTAATTATTTTTGAACGGATATTGTTGAGATAAGGCAAGTACACGAATTACTATTCAGTTCAATATAGTTTAACCACGGTCTCGAAGAATTCGAGATTTTTCTAGAAAAAGAGATAATTTGAAACAGTATATATAAATCTCCTTTTACATATTTATTTAAATCATATTCCGAAAATTTCAGACTAATGATGATTACTTAAATGGCAATAATTTTCAGCAGTAGTTGTATAGCATGAAGTGTCATAATTAAGAGAAAATCTGGTTGGTGAATTTAGCAATAAATTAAATTACATTTCTTAAAATTTTTTAAATTTTCAAGTAATTAAATGTCGAAATTCTAGTTATTCGGAAAGATATATATATATATATATATATGCCATTTTCCATTATGGTTAGGAATATCTAAACGACTCGCAATAAATGTGATTTATTTGTGATAGCCAACTTAGTTTGATTTTGACTGAAAACGTCCGCATCTATCACCTTGGATAAATTGTTTTAGTCAATATGTTTTTTCTCTAATACATTCTCTGCAGATGTAAAATAGTTGAGTGTACATTAAATATCAAGTACTAAATTTCTTAGCTTTCAGAAAAGGCAGTTTAAAAATTAAAAAGAAAGTTTTCATAAATCATAATTAATTTGTGTACCTTGAAACGTGTGTAACATACAGTAGATCAGGATGAAAATCCATTCATTCTAAACCAATACAAGTTTTGGTGAAAAAAAATATCAGTTAAACAGTTTTAAAACATGCGACAATTAAAATATATATATATATATATATATATGCAAATTATTTTCTGTGGATAATATTTTATCGGTTTTAAAAGTTATTTGGGCGATATATATTCATTTTTTCGGGTGTATGCTGAACCGTTTTTACCTTTTGTGATAAAGAGTTTTACTCCCTATTCGTAGTTTAGAATGCAGATAGTCCAAGTCCTATCCGTCTAAAATTAATGTGGTCTTATTTGTAGTGTGTTGAATAGTCTAACTGTTTACTAGATCGCCTAGCATGAAGATCGTCTAAAAACCATCTTCAAAAATTATTACATTTCCTGAATTCCATTGAACAACCTAAAATTCGCTACTATCTAGAAAAAATTAATTTACTTTAATTGGTGAAGAAAAACTTGAGCTGAAATTAATTTGAAAAGATACTTAAAGTTGAAAAATGTTTTAAAAACTATTTCGTCCTAGTTTTAGGCCTTTGGCACTGCTTGATAACGATTTCACTTAGGACTGAGTATACTGATTTTCACGTTTCTTAGCGAATATTATAACTTTGCACTAGTATTCGGTAATATAATTCTTCGTATTCGATCAAAGAAATCTATGAATTTCTATATCACTCCTACCCTGAACTTGAAAACTTCAAAAAAAATGTAGATATTTTCACAAATCACTTAAACAGAATATGACTTATTTTATAATGTAATCCACATATTCACTGGATTCCAATGCATGTGTTATGGAGTTTACTTATATTGACTAAAAACATTTTAGTACGTTGAAATATTGAACAAAAGACCTGAAATCATGAAAGAAATGTTTATAAAATAATACCTAATGATTACTTTTGGTACTGACATAATATAGAACATAAGAACTTGGTATAATCAAAAGAGTAAATTGATTGATCAGTGAGTAATAACCAATTTTATTTTCGCTTCGCTCTTGATGCTGATAGAATTTTATACACTATTCTATGTAACCTGACATTGTGTGTTCTGCTATTAAGGTTGTAAGATCTAGATAACACACGGAACGTCAGATCTCTAAGGATTACAGAAACTACCTGATATCGATTGCCGACTAACATGAAACCAAGGGTCAGTGTTCACTGCAGATTACGTACTCATTAGGTGTACTATATCAGAATGCAATTTATCTCGCCTAAAACCGTATCAAGCTACAACCCACTGAATGAATACTAAGCACTAAACTTCAACGACTTCACTTTTCACAGTTACTTGCTACAACTCTAATGATTTCTTGGTTTGATGATTTCCTATGAACTATACGATGGTTTCTAGTTTCTTAGTTAAATATGCTGTAAAGCATATTCAAATGAAATATTCTTGAACAAATAAAGCACTGAACTGAAACAGTTGATTAGAGTGTAACAGATCTCAATGATTACAGTCCGATAAAGCAATATTGTCAAATTTAAAATCTGTAGTTTACAGGTCTAACTTGCCTGACATTTTTATGAAACGTACACACATGAAAATGTTGGTTGCAACAAGGTATTACACTGAAAGCTGATTTGCGACTGTTTGTTTGCGATTAATTAATTAACAAAGCATATTCTGTTTTTGTAGTCCGAAAAGTTCTGAAAAGAAAAAAAAGATACTGTAAACTTAATATTGTTTGGTTTAATTATCGACAGGCTAGTTGCCACAATTCACTTGATCACTCATCTAAACTAAATACGATAGAAAGAATTTCTGCAAAAAACAACGAGAAAACAAAATGTAATATAAGTTAAACACAAAGGCACATAACAAGATTGATAAATTTTTATCCTAGTCAAGTTTAAAATAGTTACCTCGTTAAAAAACCTCTTTGCCACTCCTGCTCTTCTAATTATCATCTGGTAGGTCATTAATTAGGAGGTTCCAGGTGAATATTTGGGACTCTGGTGAGAAATAGCGTTCAGTTAAATTTAAAAAAGTATGGAATATCAATTGTACAGGTTTTTAATGTTTAAAGGCAACTTTCAATTGGTTGCGTCTCATGAAAGTGTCATGTGAATATACACTGTACAGGAAATTCAAACTAAAATTCAACCACTCTCTGGGTCTATCTGATTTTTAATGCATAGTCAGTGTTATATTATGCAAACTAATTTTCTAGTCAATATTTTATGATAAAAATTGCTTTGTTAGCCTAATATATAATAATACGTGTTAAAGGAATGTCTTTTTCAGTGTTCTATCAGGATTATTTATCATTTTAGTGTGACGTATTAGTGGGTTTTGTTATCTGAATGCATATTTGTGTAATTCGTTTAAACTTACCTTCCCTTGTCATCATATAATGATTGATTAATAAGATAAAACACTTCAGGTTCCTTATTTTTTATTATTACATTGTCATAATAATGGTGAAATCGATTTTTTTCTGCTTTTCATTTGTCCCCTCTAACAGATGTCATTGTGATTGTTGCTAGTGTAATTGTGCTTGCTGTAGACAGTGACAGGAATATGTTTGCAGCTAGTGCATTGAGAGGATTGAGATTTTTTCAAATTCTACGTATGATACGCATGGATCGTAGAGGTGGATCATTTAAATTATTAGCCTCTGTGGTATGGGCGCATAGACAAGTAAGTTAGCGTGATATGTATAAATCATGTCAAAACATAATCCCATTCAATTAATTCGAATAGATGATCAATAAATAAAATGAAATGAATTTCCAGATACCTCAAAATTTAAATGATAATGATGAAGTGTACAAGCGCTTAGTTATTATCAAAGCAAGTTAAGATTAGCGAATGAAATAGGTTTCACGCTTGAGTGTACATTACTTGACTTTTAAATTTACTCATTTGTATTTTCAAATGTCACGACTCAAAGAATGCACGTCAACCGAACAGTCCAAAATATCCAGCTATTCATCAATGATAATTTACTAACTAATCAAATGATTCCACATGCATCTTATTATTTTAGATTTTACGGTTATTAACAAAAGTAAAACACCTTACTGTGTATAGGACTTCAAATGTCCTACTTACATTTGTTTACAAATAAAAATGTTTTAGTATGAGCTTCACTCGTGGGTTTCAATATATAACATTTAGAAAGATAACATAATTTTCCGACAAGAGGTTCGGAAGAATCAACGGGGAAACTTACTTGCCCCTTGGATATAATCCATTATTGATGAGTTCCAACTAGGAAGGAACCTAGATGGGAGCTTTTCTACGCATAGCCTCCAATGATAAGACATAAAAGCATTTGAGATGTGATTATCAACTATTCAGGTTAAATGCAATATTAAAACATTTTAGTTTAAAAAAAACTATACGTTATTTGTTATATTTAAAAGCAATATTGCTAGTTAATGTAAACTGATTGATATTAAACAGTTTTTATATATGATAGACAGATACAACTAATGCATGACAGGTTAATTTATTCTAGCTGCTTACAAATCCTGTTCAGTATATCAATGTTTTGCAATATTGCATAAAAAATAAATGTTGATTAGAAAAATTTCCTCCTAATCATTTTTGATGACGAATGTCAATGGAGTGTACAAAATTCGTTTCATAAAAAATAACATCAATCTATCAAATAGAAAAAAAACTGATTTCAGCCTATAAATAAATTTTCAATGCAAAAATTCTAACGATAATAAGAAAATAATGATACTAATAAATAGATGGTTTGTATGCATAGAAAAAACACATTCAATTCAGTAGAATTCACGATTTCAACAAAGTAACTCAACAATCTCCACAACGCCATGATGCGAATCACCTGGTTCACTAGTGACTAGCTCCATAAGGAGAAGTCGTGACCAGTGGAGTTCAACTCTGATCGCGTGTGAAGCCCTGCTCACCGATGACAGTGTATGAGAGCGTGGACAAGAACGTGATATGATCGAAGTTAGACGTTAACACCGTTGGATACCGGCATAGGTAAGGCGTTTGCGCGCAAGACCGAAGGCCCCGGGTACGAATCCTGTGAGGTGCAGGAGTCGTGGATGCGCACTGCTGATGTGTTCCATACCAGGACGGAACGGATGTCCAGTGCTTCCAGGTTTTTCAACGGTGGTCTAGCATTGATCAAAAGAGTAACTCAACAATTCTTATTATTTTATCATTTCAAGAAATTAACCTTGCGATTTTTAATTAAATTTTTTTAAAATACATTCAATCCTCATATTTCATCGCGTCTGAATTAGTCTACTGAATACAAATGCGTAGTTGATCAAATAGACGTAATTTCATACTGATTTGAATATAGACGTTATCCATATAAATCAAGTGATATATATATATATATATATATATATATATATATATATATATATATATATATATATATATTTGCAATTCATTTTTCCATAAAGATAGCAGAGCAAATGATCATTTCATGTCAGTTAAACTGAAACTGAAAAAAAGTAATGACGCTAGTGATAGCAACAATAGTTTTGAATACTAATTGTGTAGATAGCATTCGTCTCCTTGATGAAAACGATCAGTAAATTATGAAAATCTCCATAAATACATCATATAATTAAACAGTTATTAATAGTTTACGCCCATAACTTTAATTTCGTCAATATTATTTCGGTGAATTTATTTCTCATTTTCATATGTACATTACGTAAAATAATATAGAACCCATAAATTTGATTTTGACTTTGTTTTAAAATAATGTTTTCATAAAAATAATAGAAAAAATTTGTAAATCATAAAAATTTATTCGTTGAAATCATTTGTCATTCACTGTTAGATCATCATTAGAAACTTGGAAGCACTCGATGGCAGTTTCTTCTTGGTATGGGACTCAACAGCAGAGTGTAACCACGACTCCGGCACCTCTCGGGATTCGAACCCGGGACCTCTGGCCTTGCGCGCGAACGCCAAACCTTCTGGACCACTTTACCGGTTTCTAGCGGTGTTAATGTGTAACTGGGGATTTCGCACAACCTCACCCATTTGTGTTTGGTAGTTAGCGCTTACATCCGATAGGGTTGAACTCCACTGATCACGTTTTCTCACTTGAACTCAGAGAATTTCCACACGAAGCTAGCCACTAGTGAGCAGATGATATGATTTTTGTTCGAATCTTGCTAGGTTCAGGGGTCATAGATTCTCACTTCTGATGAGTCCTATACCAGAACAAAACGAAAGTCCAGGTTTCTAATGGCAGTCTAACAATGATTGATTGGTGATTTCAACGTGTAAAAACACTGATCTCTATAACTCTAATTGAATAAAAATGCAATTTATTCATTAATGGAATACATGCATATCTCTTGCTTTTCTGCGATCTACATTTATAAATTTACATATAAATACATAAATAGATAGATAGATAGATCTCACATCATTCACTATGTACTGACTAATGTCTATTTTTATGATACGGAAAGAATTCAGTATATCTGTGTTTAGGTTTATTATTATTAATGCTGTTGATTATTTTTACTTATTCAATAGTCACATATCTCATGTGCAATATTGCAAGAATTAGTAACACTTTATTTCCTTGTTATGTTGTACTCTGTGTTCTTCATACTGATTATCTGATGGTTTCTCCATTCTTTCATTTTTATTTAGGAACTATTCACAACGGTGTATATTGGATTCTTAGGCCTTTTGTTCAGTTCATTTCTAATATTTTTAGTTGAAAAAAAAGAAAATGAAAAAATTCGTACATATGCTGATGCTTTATGGTGGGGTGTAGTAAGTAAATTATTTACTTATTTAATTTTTCATTGAAATTATAATTTCATTTATTTTTTGAATTGAAAAAAGTTTTTCATTTATGTGTTTGATTACTCATTACAATTAATTTTATTTGCAATCAGAGTTATGGAGATTAGTGTTTTTGCACACATGAAATCATTAATCAATCAGTCAAAAATGTGTTCGCTAGTGACTAGGTTCGTGAGGAAATTCTCAGAGTTCTAGTTGAGAAGACGGGACCGATGGAGTTCAACCCTGTCGGGTATAGGCAGTAGCTACCAAAGACAAATGGGTGAGGTGGCGCGAAATCCCAAGATTAATGAGATTTAGACATTAACACCGTTGAATGTCGGCCCAGTGGTCCAGAGGTTAGTGTCCGAATCCTGCGTTGTGCAGGAGTTGTGGATGGGCATTGCTGATGAGTCCCATACCAGGACGAAACGGCCGTCCAGTGCTTCCAGGTTTCTAATGGTGATCTAACAATGATTGATTTATGATTTCAAAAGTGTCAAAATACAAATCTCCAAGACTATTAATAAAAGATTATGAATTGCTGATTGAATTGCTGACTCTTCTGCTATCATCAAAATCCATCTATTTTAATAATTATTCATCAAGTTTAAACTTACTGAACAAGCTTTATAGCTCACTTCTCGTAACAATCAGTAGAGATGACATATTGAATTCACAGTAATCTTCTGTTATTTGTAATAAACATATTTGACGAAAAATAAACAGAATTTGGTATGAAAAAACATATATTAATTCATCAGGCAATGTGTCTCGTTTTTCATTGAACTACTCATAGAACCACTTTATGCTATTCGTTGTCACTCATATATAGCAGATTTATTTTGATCTAGTTCTTGAAAATTGAAAATGCTCTAAATCATCATTAACTTGTATGTGTTTAGTACTTACTAATCATAGTTAAAACAATGAATCAGTTAGATCTTCAAAGAAATATACAAGTAAACATGTTACCAATGTAATTGTAATTTTATCAAAATATCTGCATTCATATATGTACATAGCAAGCTAATAATGCGGATACGTATTCAACAGTTTCATCATTCATAAGAACTGCCTAATCTCAGATCATATTTACTATTAAGTTGCAATTCTCTTCATGTTAGCGAATCAGTGTCATTCATCGTTTTAGATTAATATATATATATAAGTGTAATTCATTTCTAAAGGATTTGCAAGAAGATTATTAAAAAAAAAAACAATTTATCTGCTCAATGCTTTAAATATACAGATGAACTTTTTCATTTCCCTGTATAAATGATTTTCAGGTCAACTGTGAATCATTGTTACATAGTTGAATAATCTTTAAGTAGAGCTTAATGCCGTGTATTCTATAATCCTTCTAAGAGCTCATTGAATTTAATCAGTCAAGTAGCACGAAATCCGGTGCATTAGTTTTTCTTGATCAGTTTTAAATTGTAAGTATACAATGAAAAACACCATGAAATCGTTCCATTTTCAAATCTCACAGATACTACTTATAATAAGCGATCAGACATCAAAATTTATTCAATGCCTATCAAATTCACGTTCACAGAATACTGTGTAACTTTTTTATACCATTAGAAGAACGAATAAAACATAGATTCTCTTAATGCAGCTGAATGTATGTATTTTTTTCATTCTCGTATTAATATGAATGAGTTAGCCTTTTTTTCATAGTATCAACGAAAATCTAAGAGAAGTAAGTTCAGAGTAATACTTTTTTTTTAAAATTAACATTTATTTTCCTTACAAATATATTTCTGTGGAAGAATGATACACGCTTGTCTTATTCTCCAATCATAAAATATAAATAACTCATAAATAACTCATAATTAAAACACAACTTCTATTCACCTAACTTATGCAAATGTTACATCATACTGGCAATCATTAAAAAAAACCCAAATGGATTATACATTCTATTCCTGGTGGATTTATCGTTTTTATTGAAAATAACTAACAATATCAGATTACTTACCATCCTCCATAAGTTAGGTCGTATACGTGTTGGTTGGAAAAATCAATAGAAACTCTTGTACAACATTCAGTTCGCTTGTAGGTTTACTGAACACTTGAAATATATGGTAAGATTTTGTTTTACTGATTTATTGGTCATTACGCTGTTTCTTTTAAACGTTTAGATTTGAAAAAAAAAAAAAAGAAAAAAAACTACAAGACAGATTTTTACTTAGTTACTTTTACTCTCTCTCTCTCCCTTTTCTCCTCACTTTAAATTACATAAATTAGATAACACTGTGTACTGTAGGTTATGGTGATAGCGTACCACAATCTGGTTTGGGCAAAACTATTGCAGGATGTTCATGTTTGGCTATAATATCATTCTATGCCCTACCACCGGTAAGCTAAATGTCAGTATCATTATCATCATTTTAGGACAGACCATCCAATAATATTTCTGTGTTGATAAATAACAGAGAATAGAGCAAAACAAAAATACAATTCATATCCGATAATGTTTTGGAGTGATTCACTAACAGTTGTCCTCAAAAGAAAAAAAAACTGATTGATAATTGAAGTCATGTCAGTTGATAAATTGCAAAGAAATAAAAGAAATAAAATTAAATAACTTATCTACCGATCAAATTGATGCGATATGGAAATTTATTTAAAATGTTTATTATTATTATTACTTGGTTATGCTTTAAATAACAGTTAAGTATGAGTTACAATATATCACTTACTGGGTTATTCTATTATGAGAATAATAAACTATTACAGTGGTATTATATTTATAGAATTCTAAAGTTTTCACTTTTATCTCTACTTATAAACTGAATGTTTGAAAAAAAAATAAATTAATTAATTAAAAAAACCATAAACAACTGTAACTATTTAACTGAAATGAAATTCTGGTACCATAATTATATTATTATTAATAAATGAATTATTCTTCACTGAGCTGGATATTTCAGTTGTGAAGCTTTCATTGTTCTTCTACTGAACAACATTATCAGTACAAACTTCAGATTGACGATAAATAGACTTTATTTCTGCTATCTGAATTTTGTGCTGATGATGTTGTTCAGTAGAAGAACAATGAAAGCTTCACAACAAAAATATCCAGTTCAGAGAGAATGAAACACCGTCACAATCATCCACCTAAGCTATAAATTTTCTCCACCATCTCAGACTTATTCTTCAATCTGTTTTCTTTCTTCTTGTTACATCGCCCATTTCTCTTCTTTGATTCTGTTTCATCAAATCTTAATATTGAACCTTTTTCTACATTATTTAAAGGCTGATGTGTATAAATGTGTAGTCAGGTTTTTTTTTTGTTGCTTGATTAAATGTTAATTTCCCAATAATTTATCCAGTATACAATTTAAATCTCACACATGGGAACATGGGAAATGTTTCTGTCTTCTTTAATAAATGTACATCCATTAGGATTTGTTTTCAAATTCCGGAAAAAATTAATATTGATTTAAGTTTTAATAGAAATAAAAAAATGTAACAAGTGAATGCTTAAAAGTAAAATATAATTTCAAGTGAAGCCATTTTATGTGATGTATTAAACTGGTTTCCTACTTGGAATGCTAAAGAAGTTCATTCTAAAAGAACACTTCATACTTCACTAACTTGAATTTTCACCTCACTTATGGCAACCAATCTTGTTATTGACGTTTAAGCTTTTTGTGATAACCGTGCTTACCGTATAAAATTGATAGTATTATTAGTTATATGTCCAAATCTTTGTACACAATTCCTGTATTTATGTAAGTATAAAACTGAGTTACACACAGAGTTTTAGAATGTAGATGATTGGAGTTTCTCTGAAAAGATCTCTTAACAATGATCTCATTTATCTAAGTAGTATACATGTTCTGCTTACTGTTTGTAATTTATTATCGAAGCGATAATACTCTCCGTTCCTAGTAACTTTACTTTAGCAATTAAATGTAGAAATCATTAAACTTAATGAGATAATGATAATTTATAATTCTGCCTGACAGTTGAATTAAGGTCACTTTCTCATTCTTGTAAAATATTATTAGGTTCATTAAATGGCAAAAAGAATGACCGCATTTGCAGATATTATTGTTGAATCAGTGAAAGCAACAATATTGAAGTGTATCATAAATTCTCCACTGATTGCAAACGAATATTTCGCTCTATTAGAGGGAGCGTTATTAAATTTATAGGCTGTGAATCAATGATCAACTGAAAGGGTTTCCAACTGTTGGGGATGTTAGATCCCCAAAACTCGCCTGTTAAATGCCTTATTTTGGATTTCACGTTTGCCAGCATGGGCTGATCAGTTGACCTTGAGATTTCATTTCCCACCATGATTTCCGCTGGGTACTTTTGCTCCGGTAACAACTCATTTGGTGTTGTCCGATAGACGTACAAGAAATTTTGTAACGCGTCGGCTGGTGTCCAAATAAGGCATTTAACAGGCGATTTTTGGGAATCTAATATCCTCAACACCAGCAGGCATAATTACGAAGATGATGAACAATTCCCTTGAAAATTTTAGTTAGTCTACTGCTTTTTGCAAGGCCTCACGTTTCACTGGCTTAGTGTATCAAACTCTTTCTCCGGTTGGTTTATTGCATCTCCAGTACCGAATAGATACTGGACACTGAAATACAGCTAACTCTCTTAAGTGTTTAGATCTACGTTTAAAAAAAAGACATAACAGATATCATTGATCTCAACTCGTAATAATTTTCTTTTTTCCATATATTTTTCTTGAGACTATAGAATAACCACATTGAAATGACTCTCCAGAATGTAAACTTAAACTGATTTTAAATATCATTATCGAAGTTCAACTTGAAAGTTTGAAAAAGATATTGAACATTATGCGAGAAAGTTATTAATAATAAAATAATTTTCGGTGATATACCAATTAGTAAAAAACTATATTTTTGACGTTTTGTGATTTAATGAAAATGTTTTTTACGCGATAGGTAAATAAACAACTGAAACTAATTAGCACAAGTTTTAAACATACCATTACTGAAGAGTTAAAGGTTGTGTTTCACCAAAAACCTAACTAGTATGTAAATGACTGTGTTACATCCCACTGTATCTATCAGCTTTCACAAACATGCAGATACATATACACAGGAAAGAGCAATCTTAATAAAAACGTACGGGCAGTTTAACCTACAGCTAAATCACTACAAAAAATGAGTTGCAGTATTTGAATAAGGTCAGAGATTCGACAAATATCATCCTTCATTGCGAAACATTTTAATGAGACCGATCATTAGGTTGAAATCAAGTCAGCTGTCGTTGTATTATACAAAAGTATTCAAGGGAGGGGAGTATACTAAGCTTCATAAAAGAACTGGCTGTACAAAAATTGAAACCCTCTTTATGCATTTAAAACAGTTTGTTTTTACCCTTAAGCTGCATTGGTAATATTGATTTGTTATCCAGGTGTTTCCATATTGTGTACTTTATTATTATCAGTATCTTTGTTCACCGAATTTTTAATTTGTCTAATTGACCTTTTATATATTTTTCATCTATATAATGTCTTAACAAGTCATATGTGAGACTAGATTGTTCGAAATGTATTGCTTTAATAAATATCACATAATTCCCAATCGTCTTCGTCTTCTCATCTAATTAACTAAATTTTTATTTAAAATAATTCTTTTTCTATGCACAATGTCCACTATGCACATTTTCAGCTAACCCTTCTTGAAAGAAAACTTTGTTATCTTATGTTATTACCAATATCCAAAGTCATAATAATTGTATGAAGTTCTTTGTAGGACCTAGCGAATAATTACATTTTTGATTGAACCTTTTTTTAAAAAAATGGCTTAACAAGCACAAATTCATTCATTGAAATTTGTAAGCCTGAAAATACAAAATAGTTAGGATTTCTCACTTTTTAATTATGCTGTCATTATTATCATTGAAAGTGAAATCGAGAACTAATCATATCAAAAGATTATTACTTGGTGATAACAACCAATACATTTATGCTTGAATGTTTAATGTATTTTGATAAGGGATTGAATATTGACTATTTTTTTGATAACCTGTACCATAGAAAAGTATATTTATCATCAAAATTATGGTAATCTGATATTGATTGACTAAGAAAACTAATGCTGAATTATCAGTGTTTTTCCCATTGCGCTTTGTAAAGTATCATGACACTCAAGTTCAAAATTCAATTTGTTGTTTAACTAAAGTCAATTCATATTCCAAAATCCGAAAATTTAATATTATCAACAATCATTGATAGTTTTGGAAAGATTAATAAAATTGTTTTTTTTAAATATAAGTATGATTAGCGAACTCTTCAAAAGTGATCAAGCCAATAAGCAAACTACGTACACTTGAACAAAAAAAGTATCATAATTAATAGCAGTTAAATTATCATCCTAATTGAATAAAATGAAACATTACTTATTGCAAAGTATTTGAGACTTAGTATAAAGAAATAAATCAAGAGATTTATTTTGACTGTTATAATTTAAGAGAACTTAGTTTATAAATTTATTCACATTTGAAATTACATTATTGCAATTAGTCAAAAAAAAACATTTAATTTTGCCCTAACTCAAACTACTTGCATTTCAATTTTCATCTAGTTTTTTTTAAAGATATAACAAACTTTAATACTTTCTTTTCTCTATCAAGTGATATATTTTTCTGTTTAGAATAATCTATTCAGTCAATGTTTTTATTAAAGATTATTATGTACTAATATATATATAGTATAAGAGACAATTTGTTTTCAAGGGATTTGAAGTTGAAAATCACCATTAAGGCACCTGGAACTATGATATACTTGAAGTTGGTTTTTCTCTATTTTTATTTTCGGACTCAGTCTGTCAATTTACTTTCTGTTTGATATATTTCTTGTGAAATTAAGTACAACAACAACAACAACTACTACTAGACTTTTTAGAATGTTTCTGTTTGTGATTTTTCAATAGTTTATTTACTGTGCTTTTTTATTATATAGGTTGAACTTTCAGTTCATTTCATAGTGATTCAGTCTGCGAAATAAAAACATATCACATCAAAAGTAAACAAACCACAGGGTAAAAAAGAAAATAAATTAATCAGGGTTATCTTTACGAGTTTATAATGATGTTAAGACTGATTACTGATAAAATTTAAATATATGCGGTTGTATTCAATAAGAGTTATTTCTGTTGGATTGTATATCAGTGTAATACATTTCACATCTTGCAGTCATTTTATAAAACTCTGTCAGCTTATGATTAATGACACTAAACTATTCCAGTGGTCCAGAGTTTAGGCGTTTTCACGTACGACCGAAGGCATCGAGATCGACTCCTGCGAGGTGCAGGAGTTATGGATGTGCACTGCCGATGAGTCCCATACTAGGACGAAACGATCGTCAAGTGCTTTCAGGTATCTAATGCTAGTCTAATAATGATTGATTGATGATTTCAATGTGCAACAAACACTAATCTCCATAACTGTAATTGAAAAATCTATTATAAAAACATATGGATATATCATAATAAATTTCTTTTTCAAAAGATATTTTTCAATTCTAGTCACAGTTTAGTGAGCTGGTACTGACCAAACAAAATGGTCATTGAAAATATCGTACGGTGTTGGAGAACAGCAAAATATTTTTGGTACACGTAAAAATTTCTGCTAAGCATCATAAGTATTGTAGCGATGACCGGATATTATACAGTTAAACGTAAAGTATCTGAATGTTGTATGAAAGTTGGTTCACTGTCTTTTGGTACTTTACTCTTTTATGGAGTTGTAATGATTGAAAATAGTTAAAACTTTTTGTCTACAATGTACAGAACTATCGAAATCAAGGATAATTCTAGGTAGGAAAAACTATATCAGCAAATATATAGCATCCTCTGTGTTTATCAGTTTACCCATCTATGAACACTGATACATAAGAATAAGTAATCATAAATTCTTATTAAGGGTTATAGAGAACATATTGTTGATTGTTTCAAAAACAACTATTCTCCGTTAATCAAATAATCCAGTTCACCAGCTCAAGTGATCAGAAAATGTAGACTTTCTTGATGAACTCCAAAAATTAATATCAAACCGTTAAAAATCACAGTAAGAGTAAACTGATTTTAAATTTCTTTTCCATATCATTTAGTTTTAGATAATATTCTACTGATGATTTCAATCTTAACTATGAATCTCTGAAAGGTTTGGTATGCAACCGAACTGTTCAGAATCGCAGTTAGATTGTATGAATCTATCAAAAATCTGTAGTGAATCAATATACATCTTAAACAGTTAGCTTCTCGGAATTAAGTCACCAGATTATTTTACAAGTACTCTTATATATTTCTATCAAAGGTTTTTTCATTAGTGACTTACTTTGTATTATGATAAGTTGAAGATTTATAAGTTATTTCCGTAGCTGTTTCCAGAATAGTTAAACTATTTTTTCTTATTTTGATTCTAAACTATTCATCTTCAAATGAAATAAATTGTTAACACAACAGAGGCTTTAATTTTTCATCACTAAATTTTATTCAAAATCTTTTCATTCTTTTCTCTTGCAAAATAAGTATAATTTCTATTTACTTTAATTTATACGACTATTAAAACAATCTTGACTATTTATTATGAATTTAGGTGAATTTTAGTTGTAAACTTAAATCTAATCAACATGTGATCTGAACAGTTTGCTTTTCCTACACACATTCTTAAACAGTTCTGTTAAATCAACTGAATGATGAATTGCCATTTTAGTTTGTGGAGATTGTTGGGTTTCATATAAAATTAGGATCGATCATTGTTAAATCACCGTTAGAAACCCGAAAGCACTGAACGACTGTTCAGTGATGCTCATCCAACGCACATGCACTGGAGAATCAAATCCAGAATGTTTAGTCTCGCGCCCCAATCCCTCGATCACTGAGTTAGCATTCAACAATGTTTATGTGTAGCCTGGATCTATCCACGATACTGGCCAACCTTATCCATTTTCTTAGGTGAGTAACTGCCTCATACGCGAGACGAGTGATGCTAGACATTAATACCGATAGACGACGATCAACAGTGGTCCCGAGGTTAAACGTCCACGAATGAGACCGTTGGTTCTGGGTTCAGTTCCCTCATCAGGGGGTTGTGGATGAGCACTACTGATAAGCCCCATAATAGAATGAAACAACCATCCAGTGCTTCCTGGTTTCCATTGGTGGTCAAACGTTGATTGATTCATAATCTCAATGATGCATTGTTGAATTTGTATTTTGATAATATCTAAATATCAATTATTCTCATGACTTATTAGGAAAAAACATACTTTTACTTGAGCATCTGAAAGCCTACAATTTTTCATGATAAACACAATTTTAAAACTTCACAATAAATATTTCAAATCTAACAAAATTAACTGATACTTAGAATTAGATAAACAATGAATAAAATTTAGTAAATCTTGGCCAAATTTCTAATCATTTCACTCATATGCAGACAATGAAATAATAAATTACATAAATTTCCACCAAATTAAAAATGATTAATTTTGAGAAGTGTTTTTTTTTGTCTAATGATCTTCGAAAACTTCCAAAAATGATATTGATCTTTGAAATTTGTTGAATGCATCATTCCTATAACTATCTAACAAAATTACAATGTGAACAATAATTTTTTTTTTAAACAAACCATTCAACTGTGTTTAATGCAATTCAATATTCAATTCAATTCAATTGATTCAATTCAATTCTTGATTCTTTGTTTCTTTGTTTCTTTCTTTCTTTCAATTTTTTTTTTCACTGATCAGATTACTCTTTGTACAGTCGGTTATGGGGATACAGTGCCTAAAACATGGATGGGAAAAATTATTGCATCATTTTGTGCATTGGCTGGTATCTCATTTTTCGCTCTACCTGCTGTGAGTTTTTATTCACATTTAAAAAAAAAAAATTATCTCATAGTGATTCAGTTTATAATTCTAAAAAACATTTAACTATTAAGATAACTAGATGTACGCTTATCTAGTGGTAGAGAATGAAAATGGGTAATAAAATTCTAAAACTTCAGAAAAATATTTAGTGATTAGAAACAGAATTTACTTCTTTGTTCAATGAATCGGCAAGACACTCGGAAATCAAACCATTTTTATAAACAATGTATCATATATAGCCAATTTTCGCTCCTCACTGTGTATTATTGAATACGGAAGTGTGTGATAATCTGATTAATAAATCCATTTCGTATGCAGTTGAGAGTTATTATATTGTATTCGATCGACAGCAACTATTTACAATCATTTTTCGTGCTCGTTTCAACGTGATTAGAAGTTGTCTTATAATATTATGGACATTTCACTGATTCGGACCGAAAATTATTGTTTTCGTATTGAAAAGCTGTAGGTAATACCTTTATCTCTCCCTTGACTGTATCTTAATAACACTTTTCCCTCATTTTGGTGACCTGGTTGTTTCTCACATCTTTCGAATTCATTCTTTACTGGTTAGGTATATTTAAACTTCACTTCTTTAAATACTTTATCTTTTGTGTATTATTTGATCCATGGTAAATATTCGCACAAATCTTCACTGAAACATATTCCTTTCAATATTCCTGTCATTAAACTCACCACTATCACATTTATCAACAAGCTAAGATTATGTTTATCAAAGATTCTTTAGGTGTAATCAGCACTATCATTATTATTCAAAATATATTTGGTCTAACCCTTTGCATAGAATTCTAAGAAATATCTAAGCCTTATTTGACTCAAAACATTGTTATTCAGTTCTAAGAGCTATAATTACTGTATGTAATATTTTACTGTCTTAACTTCATTAAATAATACAATTCTCTAATTTAAATGTTCGCATTGTCTAAACCAGTGTGAAAAGGTTCATACAGTTATCTCGCTGGCAGTTCTGTTTGAGTTCTGATTCAATTGTATCTAATTTCCCCAATGTGTTTATTAAAATGTTGTTTTTTTTCTTTACCTTGAAACCTTTTCAAACATATAATTACTATTCTAATAAACACACTGAATATTAATTTCAATAATCTTCTAATTTACAACTAAAATAAAATTTTGATATAGAATTTTTTTTATGATTTTTGTTCATCATTGTATATTCCTCTTTATTACAATTTTTTTTGAACAGTTCATCTATTTACAATTTTAACCTAAATTTCACTAAGTACTGTACTCCTTTTAAACTTCTACCAGATAGAATTCTACGTAAGCTTATGAAAAAGATGAATGACAGTAAAAATATAATCTCTTTTTTTTCAAAATCTTGAATAAAATCACATTCTCTAAAGAAATAAACTGTTGACATCTTGAAACACATAAATAAAATAGATGAGTTCTGTGTAGTAAATAACTCTAAACTTTACATTCCCTCGTGTTTGCAACTCACCAACTTGTTAGGCTCCTGTCTAGGTATGCCTAAACTAGTACGAGTTTACCTTAGACGAATAACAAGAACAAACAATGAACCATCGTTCAGGTAGTCTACCATGATCCCTTGACCAAACTGAATCAACAAGAAGTCTTGATATAGTGTAGAAATTGTATTCTACAAAATCGCAGCCAGCACACAATCAATCCAAGCACTCAAATCACGTTTATTTATACTCTATAGAGACGTCCTTGGGCCAGGCATAAAAATAGCACACCAAAATGACACGGTAACCAATCACAGTCAAGGATATTCCTGGTGGGAAATGTGATCTCAAGGTCAAATGATTGGTCCATGAAATGAATCCAAAATAAAGACATTTATCAAGCGAGTTCCGGTGGATATATCATCCGCAACACAACTGCATTAACCGTTATTCCAATTTCAGTATTCACAATGAGAATGAAAACCCATTGTGTTATTCACTGACCTATTATTAAATAATTAAATAAATAAACGAAAAATCATTCAGCATTATTATGTTGCTTATTAAGTTGTTAAATGAATCGACTAAATGATATAGAACAATACTATCAATACAATATTATAATGATACACCTTTGGACAACTGTTGTGAATCAACTCCAAAACTTTTAAGGATATTTTTTCTAGGGATTAAATTTTTTTGATTATATTTGATATTTATTCATATTTTATTTGTTGAATTGAAAATGTTTTTTTTTCGCTTTCATTAATCATGAAAAATTTGATGATATAACTGCGATTGATAAGGTTTCAAGATTATTAGCAACTTGAACGGATTAGAATGTTTAACGTTGTTTAGTGTGAAATTATTCAGAGTTATATACATTGATAACTCGAAGGTTTAATAAACGCGTTTCAAAATCTAAACAAAAACAAGTAAACGCTTTAATATATACATATATTTGTGCAGATCATATACAATGAAAAGCTAAATCAGATATTGATGCACTGGTGAACTTCATAATGAATTTTAGTGAATCAAATCAACAATCAAGTGTATTCGTTCATTTAAACGTTATTGAGTCTAATTTACAAAATCTGAAATGTTAGTGAAACTATTGAATTAAATGATCACTTGAAAATAGACGAGTTCGTTATAAATGCACGTTATGCAGTTGGACATTATAATCTAAATTATGCTTCATTAATTTCAATGTATGTCACAGATTTAAAAGATCTATAAATTATGAGGTTGAAAATGTCTTTTATAAGATTTAAGAATAATCGATAACTTGAGGGGTGCCTCCCTAGCATTGTTAATAATTGAATTGTGTTAGGATTCGCGATGAAGTCATTCAGATGCATAAAAATGACTTTTCAGTAGACCTGTATTTTTAAGTAGCAGCTAAACACTACAGTGTTTCAATAGTATGCTTAAAATATACCATTAATTTTATGGTATATTATTCCATATATATGTTTATGAATCTAGAGAGTCTTAAATGTACATAATCGGTTGAGTATTAAATAGGACCTGATAAATAACTGTTAATATTTCAAATATTTACATGCATGTAATTCACTATTTATCTTCAAATTTTTAGGGTATATTAGGTAGTGGTTTCGCTCTCAAAGTACAACAACACCAAAGACAAAAACATCTGATACGAAGGCGAGTTCCAGCTGCCTCATTAATTCAATGTTTATGGCGATGTTATGCTGCAGATCCTCATTCATCATCTGTTGCAACGTGGAAAATTCATATGAGACCAATAAGAAAACCTGTTGGGTTTGTGAAAATAATATTAATTTTTAATAATATTTTGAAACATTGTTCAATTCACCTCAGACTATCAATCTAATTTTGTATTTAGGAGTCATAAGTAGTGTTGGAATGACATTGTTTAATGTCCTGTTTACAAATAAACTGATATTGAACAAGTGACTGTTAGGTAGATAAACTTTTTACCCCTTAAAGACTAGAATAGAACTCTATTGATAAGAGTAAATTGGTCTTAATGAATTAACCTTTTTTCAGAAATGGAATCCATTTTGAACTAAAGTTTACTCAATGATCTCTCAGGTTCCATTAACTATTTAATAAATGATTTACTGTTGCACGTATTTGAATCGATATTTATCGTTCTCACTAGAGAATTTTCAGATCAAATGAATAGATTCTTATTAAATATTAATCTAAATTATTAATTGCCAACTTTTCTTACTACTTCAATTATTTATCATAACTTTTATCAGACATTCGCATTTTCCTACACGTCTTATTGATCCACATGGTTTATTCAATAATTCTCTAATATTTTTCTACTCCTACTATTGATTGACTTAAATAACGAAATCTTTCTTGAATATATTTTTATTCATTTCATTCATAAACCACTGGAACTTATGACTTTGCCATTATCAGTTTAATTAACAAAACTCTAACTGATTTCCTGCTAAATTTAATCTATTTACATGAAATATTTTTTGTTCATAATCATCTACTTCATTGTTTATCTTACATTAAACAAAAATTCAGGGTGGTTTCTTTTGTTTGCTTTTGAATTAGTTTGTTTGTTTTGAATTTTAGCTTGGCTTAAAAATTATTCCGTGTTATCGCAGGAATGTTATCACATGAACGCTGTAAATGACATTGATCAATATATTTTTTTTGGTACTAGTTTGCTTCCAAGTCTATCCACACACACACACGCAATTTATCGATCATGTATTTTCATAGTTAGCTTTCGCTAATTACAATAAAATTTGCGTTCAAGTATATAAGATAATTTTTTTTTTGAATGTTTAACGGACAGTCAATGAAAACACTTTGTGTCATTCCCGTTTTGTTGAATGAATACGACAGATAGTTCTTCCTAATAATTTGATAAATAAATAATAAATTTTATTTATCTCATCTTAACTCACACATCTATTCTGTTTATTTCTTAACCTCATGATGATGTGAAATTCGAAATCAATTAACGGTTGTTTACAGTTTTCATACTGTAATAAATATTTTCATATTTCAGCTCAATATCTATTCTCTATTACGAACATTTTAATTAATTTTTTAAATTTTTATGACTGTCTCAAATCAACAACTGAATTTTAGGGGGCTGTATGTATTTGGAAATGCATTCCTGTTGATGTTTATTTCCAGGTTTAACAGTTATTTGAAGATTCATCACACGACATATTTCATTGAGATGATGTCCTACTCTGTGCACATGACTATAACCATGTATCTCTGATTGTTGATGGAAAATTACTAGATACACTAAAACTAAACGTTTCTAAAATAGATTTGAAATAAAATGACGTGACTATTAATGTGATGTTTCTAAATAAATAAAAAAAACGTTAAGTTTAATTATAGGACTGGACTAACTCCGGTTGAGCGAGCGAATTCAGGGTCGTTGAACATACAAAGAACAAACAATTTGATTATTGAAAGTATGATTAAGAATTTTAATTCAAAAAATATCATTGATTTAATTAAGGTTAGGATTTGAAATAGGATTAAGATTAGGTTTATAGTTATGGTTCTTAAAATTCAAATAAACCAAAATGTAACCTTAAACTTGATTAATAACTGTAGACTCAAGTGTTAACAGTTAAGAACTACTTATGGTCAACTTGGGAAAGTTCATCGACTATGTATAAAAAAACATATTTTTTTCGTAAATTTTTTCTGTCTAATAAAACATAAAAATAATGACAAAAATAGGAAACGATTTAATCGAAATTTACAGTTTACCATGGTAATTATAATTTGAAAAATATCTTTTTCTTTCCACATACATAAAAATTAACTTTTCTGATGACTACTACTTTTGTGTAGCATAATGGACTCGGAAATGTTTATCTTTAAGTAAACTTCAAAGATTTAATGACGTTGTGAACGTAACCGCTATAGAATGAGTGTCGAGCGATTAAAGTATTCAGAGCAGTGAGACCTTTTTTAATTGTAGATTTTTTAAAATCTCAGCCATACGAATATGTACTCACCTTTTTATTCTGTTTTGCGACAATTTCCAAGTTCTTTTTAAATACTCTTTCAGTGCTATGATTAGATTTCTTCGAGGGGATAAATTTTACAAATGTGATAACAAACCTTTAAAAAAAGTTTTGCCGATTTCGGTGAATTTTCTTTTCTTCTTGTATTCACTGTGAAGCTTACTAGGTTTTGGCTTTTGAATTTTAGTCATTTTGCTTTCCGATATTAGATTAAAACGCTATGATGAAACGCGTCACATTAAGTTATTTTAAGAAATTTCAAAAACGGTAGCAGATTGTGTTGTATATTTTCGCTGATTTCCATTATTCTTATCATACTGTCATCCATGAACATGGTTTTTTTAAAAAGAAGAATTTTATCATCACTTTTCGATTTGCGCATCTTTTTTTTTGAATATTGTTGATTACGATAAGTAGTTGAATGAAATGTCAAAACATAATACTGCATGCATGAAAGTCAAATATTTGGAATTTTTGATGACTATTTACTGATAATAAACTTTTCAATTATTCCAAGTATTGAAAAATGAAAGCAAATCTACGCAGTTTCAATCCGAACTGATTTATAATTAGAATGATACACATATTCAGCCTTTTTTTCCAGATTCCAGGTTGTGCTGAAATGATTAAAATAAATACATAATCAAGATAGTCGGTTATTAAAACAACAGGACCAGATTAAAGGGGGTCGAAACTGATCAATTTATTCATGGTTTTTCCATACGACTGATTTTGCAATATACATTTTTAGGCAGGATTTTTCAAACTACATACAATGCTGTATGGGTACAAGTATTTTAAAATGTAAAAATGTTTAGTCGAAATTGTCAAAAAAACTATCACTGAATTGTTATAACAAATCGTTGAACAAATGAACAAGTTTATTCAACAGTGAAGAAATATTTTTTTTCCGAAACTTTATGAAAAATTAGTTTGTTTTTTTTTACAAATTTTCAAAGGAAGCCAGAACAACTTACCTTTCAGAAAATATGATCATTTCATTTTACGTCGTTGTTTTCTATTCATTCAATAGACAAGCTAATAAATTTGATGAGTGTTTGAGATGACACTTTTAGAATAATTTAAAATCGATAAGTTAATCGGACCGTTTAGATAGTGATCATTTTTTTTCAAAATTTCTCATTTTTCCATAAATTTCAGATTAACAAACTCATATTCCATGATTGAACGCAGTGGTTTTTCACGATTTAGTCGATTTTCCACATTAAAACGTCGTACAGAAAAAACTACCTCTAATACAAATACAAATGTTAACAATACTGTACCAATTATCACATCAAATGATGCAAACAATGAAACACCGAAATCTGCACCAGTTAAAAATGATGATTTAGATGTTATTTATGCATTTATAAATGATGAAGAAAACACAAAGTAAGTATATTCTAGCTCCATTCTTCTTCTTACAAAGCTAATTAGCACTATAGGACAATTGTCTCAGTGTTTGTTTTTATTTGATAATGGATCGAAAGTTTTACTCAGTTTTTTATAGTGGATAATGTTTGGTTACTTTAGTTCAATCTGCAGTAAAACGAACCAGTATGATTCGGCATAAATACAATAGCATTTCAAGTATACTTTGTCGTCAGCTTAATAAATAGACAAAAAATCCTGAACAAACCTTAGTGATGAAAAAATGTCAATAAGACTGATGCATATATGTAATAAAACCTTTTATTGATCAAGCGGTTGGTTCTGAAAGCATACGCATGTTGGGGAAGTCAGATCCACCGGAACTCGCTTGATAAATATCTTTATTTTGGATTTGTTTCATGGACCGATCAGGTGACCTTGAGATTACATTTCCCACCAGGAGAATCCTTAGCTGTGATTGGTTACTGTGGCATTTTACTGTGCTATTTTTATAATTGTCCCAAGGACGTCTCCATAGCGTATAAATAAACACAGTTTGAGTGCTTGATTGATTATGTGCTGGTTGGGTGTTTGTAGAATACAATTTCTACACTATATCAAGACTTCTTGCTCGTACATTTGGGTCAAGGGATCTGAGTAGCCTACCTGAACGCTGGTTCATTGTTTTGTTCTCGTTATTTGACTAAGGTAAACCCTTAATAGTTTTAAGCATACCTAGAGACGATCACATTAACGCATATATGATATACTGCCGTTTGTTCATTTTAAAATAGCTCGTTTTTCAATCAAGCAAAAAAGATGACTTCTTTAATGAAAATAATCGTTGTTTCATGTTCTGTTGTACTGGTCTGGAAATCAAAAAAAAGAAATCTGGTGATGGATTACAAAAAGACTTGACCTTTAGAGGTTGATTAGCCTCTTCAATGTAGGCGATTAGTGCTAATGATGTAAAGATTCATTCCAACTAAAAAATATATATACTTATTTTAAGGGATAAGTGAAATTACATTGATAAGTGTAAATCTAATTCATAAGTATAATTATTGTAAGTTACATCTGTCAAAAATTTATCTCCTTTGAAGCATCATCCCTATTTGGATGGTAAGTAAAAATTTATGAGTAGTTCCCATACTAAGAAGCAACAACTGTTTAGTACTTTTTCATTTTCATTGAAGAATGAATACACTGAATAGAACACAATCAATCTTCGGGAAAAACTCCTTGAAGTCAGTAAAACTAATGTTGACTTCATTCAAAACATAAAAAAGGAATTAATTCACTTCAATGAAATTTTAATTTAATCAATATATGTATTCTAATGCCTTCCTTGATTATCAGAGTGTTAAAATGAACTTCAGAAACTTCATTTTTTCTATTATTTTCTTCACTGAACATTTTGATGATTTCTTGTTTGTTTGCATTTATTTTATTTTTTTTTTGTAAGCCTTAAAGTTAATAATGACCTTTGAAAAAAATTAAAATCTCTACCAAATTATTTCCCTGGATAACTTTTTTCGGCGATTTTAATTATAAGAAAATAATAATAACATTCAATTTGATTCGAAGCTTAAAGTATTCTTTCTTTTTTTTAACTACAAAATCCTTAAACAACTGCCAGCAAGCACTGGACGAATATAAATCAATAAGTAAACGTAGATTAAGTATAAAAATAAATTTTGGCATATAACATTGATTTAAAGATAAATTTACTTGATGTGATACTATGGTTACAAATTATCTTGTTTTAATCTGGTAAATGTATATATATATATATATATATATATATATATATATATATATATATATATATATATGCAGATGTGAATATCAGCTTAAAACCAAATGAGAGATTAGACTGTAAAAAAACGCAAGTCTTTGTATTACATTTTATTTTTTAAACGTTTATTCACATTATCAAGTACAAAATGCACTAGTTAAATACACAAGAATCAATAAAATTGTCAAACAAACTAGTTCAGTCGCTTGTGTTCACTTTTTGTATTGTAATTCTTAATTTTGTATGTTTCAAGTAACAAATTTATTATTGTTATTATTATTAATTGAGAAGTTGAATTGATATGATTGAACAATGGTTTTTTTATAAGTATAAGTTTATTTTAGTTAAGTAATCCTACCGATTTTAAATTCCCGTATGAGTTATGCGGATAAATATTTATTTTGGATTGAATCAGTTCACGTTGATATTCGGTTAAATCATTGGTTGACTAACTAACAACAATTTTTCCTCTGGATGCTGTGTTGTCTAGATAGTACCTTTTATTAAATAGTCTCAATATTTCAGTAATAAAATAATCACAAAACTATTGATGTGTCATCTGGTTAACTTTGTGTCCTAAAGTACTCTAGATAACATAAACTTCACCAAACCTATCATTATTTTCTTAATATGATTGATCTATCACAGAAATCGTAAAGTTTTCAATCTTTCCTGATGAACTTCCGAAGCTTATACTAACATTTTGAATCACTTTTTTTATATTAATTAAACTAACTTATAGGCGAACACATTTAGGAGATTTTTAACACAAGACTTAATGCAAGATTTATGGTTATTGGAGTGTGCAGTAATTGAGAGGAACAAGATAAATCAATTATGCTCAAGTTAAAATATTGTGGTTTAGTAAAAGCCCATAAAATAGCTGATCAGTTGACAAGCCTATTATTCAATTATTACCAATATTTCAAATTCAATATCTTTTTTTTCTTACTGAAACTAGTGAGTGGTCTCATTTATTTTCATAGTAAATATATGTGATACGATTTGTCTTTTCTATTTGATGATTTCTATTTATTGCTTTTTTATTTTAGTCTACAGAATATTCCTGATACTCTAAAACCACAAGATTTAGACGATAAATTAGTGAAAGGTATATACTTTGCGTAAAATATATCAATTCGTTTTAATGTTCATATTATTCAATGAATAAATTTTGATACAAAAAATAATATATGACATTTTTTCTAAACATTAATATTTAAACTAAATATTTCTTCAACAAGATCTACATATCATGGTGCGAAATTTCAATAGTTATGATATCAGTTGTAATAAAGTGTAGGCCGGTTAACTGAATGATTAAATTCACTGGGCTTCCTAAAGAAATCACTAATAAAGTCTCTTTTTTTTAAATATGATTAGGACAAAAAATTTACGGTGCATTTATCAGTATTGTGAACTCCGCCAGTAGAACCTTAGGGGCTACTGCCGGTCCCAAGCCCGGGTAAAGGAGGAGGGTTGGACATGGGGTTGGCGACCCCATTCCGTCAAAAACTAACTTGCCAAAAAAACGCTAACCAGAAAAAATAATTCAAACCATTTTAACTCTGCCCTGGGAGTTGGAGGAAGAATTATGACGTCGCGTGATGAAAGCCGAGTTCCCTCGGAAGTCACGGGGCTGATGCCTCTTCTGACAACCAGAGCAACTATTTATTTAGGTACATGGAACGTTCGTACATTGTGGGAGACTGGAAGACTATTTCAAGTTTCGGCAGAAATGAAAAGATACAACCTCGAGGTACTTGGAATCAGTGAAACACATTGGACACAAGTAGGACAACTGAGACTAGCTTCAGGGGAACTGCTGTTATACTCTGGTCATGAAGAGGAAAACGCTTCACATACACAAGCAGTTGCACTGATGCTGTCCAAACATGCACAAAAGGCACTAATAGGATGGGAATCTCATGGACCCAGGATCATTAAGGCATCCTTCAAAACAAAGAAACAGGACATTACAATGAACGTCATCCAATGTTATGCACCTACCAATGACTACAATGACGACGACAAAGATCAATTCTACGAAAGGCTGCAGTCAATCGTCGAAAAATGTTCACAAAAGGATTTGACGATTCTTATGGGAGACCTGAATGCCAAGGTTGGAATGGACAACACTGGATATGAAGACATCATGGGACGACATGGACTGGGAGAAAGAAACGAAAACGGTGAGAGATTTGCAAACCTATGTGCCTTCAACAAACTGGTCATCGGTGGCACAATATTCCCGCACAAACGCATACACAAAGCCACATGGATTTCACCGGATCACACTACTCAAAACCAGATTGATCATATCTGTATCAACAAAACGTTCAGAAGGACCATGGAGGATGTGAGAACCAAGAGAGGAGCTGACGTAGCCTCAGATCACCATTTGCTAATCGCCAAAATGAAACTGAAACTAAAGAAGCACTGGACAACGGGACAGACAACATCGCACAAGTTTAATACGGCCTTTCTTCGGGATACTGTAAAGCTCAACGAATTCAGGATAGCCCTCACCAATAGGTTCCAGGCCTTTCAGGATCTACTCAATGGAGAGGACACAACATTGGAGAACAATTGGAAAGGGATTAAGGAGGCAATCACTTCAACATGTCAGGAGGTCCTTGGTCGCAAGAAGCAGCATCATAAGGAATGGATCTCTGTTGATACTCTCGCAAAAATTGAAGAAAGGAGGAACAAGAAGGCAGCATTCAGTGTCAGCCGAACAAGAGCGGAGAAAGTTACCGCACAAGCTGCATACACAGAAGCAAACAGGGAAGTGAAGAAGAGCATCAGAGCTGACAAACGAAAATACGTGGAAGATCTAGCAACGACGGCGGAAAAGGCTGCAAGAGACGGAAACTTGAGACAATTGTATGAAACTACAAAGAAGCTCGCCGGGAACTATCGTAAACCAGAACAACCAGTGAAAAGCAAGGAAGGCAAAGTAATCAGCAACACTGAACAACAGCGAAATAGGTGGGTGGAGCACTTTAAGGAACTATTGAATCGGCCAGCTCCTCTGAAGACACCCAACATCGAAGCAGCATCCACGGACCTCCCAATTAATATTGGCGCACCTACGATTGAGGAGATCAGTATAGCCATCAGACAAATCAAGAGCGGCAAAGCAGCAGGACCAGACAACATTCCAGCAGAGGCAATGAAAGCAGATGTAGAAGCAACTGCGAAAATATTTCACATCCTCTTCAAGAAGATTTGGGATGAGGAACAAGTACCATCAGACTGGAAGGAAGGATACCTGATCAAAATACCCAAGAATGGCGATCTCAGCAAGTGTGAGAACTACAGAGGCATCACTCTTCTTTCAATACCAGGCAAAGTCTTCAACAGGGTATTGTTAAACAGAATGAAGGACTTCGTAGACGCCCAACTTCGAGATCAACAGGCCGGATTTCGGAAGGATCGATCGTGTACTGACCGAATTGCTACATTACGGATCATTGTGGAACAATCAATTGAATGGAACCCACCACTCTACATCAACTTCATCGACTACGAGAAAGCATTCGATAGCGTGGATAGGAAAACACTGTGGAGGCTTCTCCGACACTACGGGGTGCCTGAGAAAATAGTCAACATCATACGGAACTCTTATGATGGATTCAACTGCAAAATCGTTCACGGAGGACAGCTAACATACTCTTTTGAGGTGAAGACCGGTGTCAGGCAAGGTTGCTTACTCTCACCCTTTCTCTTTCTCCTGGTGATCGACTGGATTATGAAGACGTCGACGTCTGGAGGGAAGCACGGTATCAACTGGACAGTTAGGACGCAGCTGGACGATCTGGACTTCGCAGATGACCTGGCTCTTCTATCGCACACTCAACAACAAATGCAAGAGAAGACGACGAGTGTAGCAGCAGCCTCTGCAGCAGTAGGTCTCAACATACATAAAGGAAAAAGCAAAGTTCTCCGATGCAACACAACATGCACCAACCAAATCACTCTTGATGGAGATGCCTTGGAGGACGGTAACAACTTTACATATCTGGGCAGCATCATCGACAATCAAGGTGGATCCGATGCAGATGTGAGGGCACGGATTGGCAAAGCAAGGGCTGCATTTCTACAGTTGAAAAATATCTGGAACTCCAAACAACTTTCAATCAAAACCAAAATCAGGATATTCAATACAAATGTGAAGACAGTTCTACTGTATGGAGCGGAAACATGGAGAACTACCAAAGCCATCATCCAGAGGATACAAGTGTTTATTAACAGCTGTCTACGTAAAATACTTCGTATTCGTTGGCCAGACACCATCAGCAACAACGAACTGTGGGAGAGAACAAGTCAGATTTCAGTGGAGGAGGAAATCAGGAAGAAGCGTTGGAAGTGGATAGGACACACTCTACGAAAAGCACCTAACTGCGTCACGAGACAAGCCCTCACATGGAACCCTCAAGGCAAAAGGAAAAGAGGAAGGCCAAAGAATACATTACGCCGTGAAATAGAGAAAGATATGAGAGGAATGAACAAACATTGGACAGAACTGGAGAGAGAAGCCCAGGACAGAGTTGGTTGGAGAAAACTGGTGGGCGGCCTATGCTCCATAGGGGGTAACAGGCGAAAGTAAGTAAGTAGGTTATCAGTATTGTGAGTATGATAGAAAACCACTTTTAAAGAAATTTACTTTTCAGGACGCAATGCATATAGTATGGTCTTCAGAATAATAGTGTGTAACATACTAAGATTCGTCAATAAATTCAATCCAGCTAACTGATAATGCAATAATCAAAATAATCAAGTTGTTCTCTGTCACTTATTACAAAAAAATATTTATTTACGAAATAACTCATTGTGACAATTGTTATACTAAATGGCTTTATTTCACATTTTCATAGTTTCCAGTCAGCCAAACAATAAACAGAATAGTAGGAAGCAAAAACTCATCCAAATGGATTAACCATTGATGCATTATATTAGTTCATTAGTTCATTTCATGTAAAAACAACAGTCTCGTATTTCCATGAAATCTTCTCTCCTAATTACCTTAATAAATGAACACTAGATAGATGATAGTATCTTATTGATAACGTTGCATTGTGTGGGAGCCTTTACACAGAAAATTAGGTGTTCATTCGCTTTAAACATAGAAAAGGTTATACTACGCCACGAATTCAAACCATCTTTCTGATTACCAACTGGCACTGACTAAGTATTCTGTTTAGTGGCATTTCGATCCAAATAGTCCTACTCCAATAATTTATTTAAGATATATGTGATTGAAATACTATGTTCTATTTGCTCTGATTTATAAAAATTCAATACCGTTTTAAAATTGGATAATATCATCAAATAATCAGTCGGTTTATCAAATCATAAACATTTTAGAAACAAATCATAGTCCGATATTATTCCTTAAGCTATTGAAATACGTAACGTGTACATCATTTTCAACTATCATAAAATTATACAATATAGATAGATAAGATTCTATTCTTCTCTCTTTAATAACATATTTAATTACACTGTGGGATGCCGGCCCAGTGGTCCAATGGTTAAGCGTTCGCGCACAATACCGAAGGCCCCGGGTTCGAATCCTGCGAGAAGCAGGAGTCTTGGATGCGCACTGCTGATGAGTCCCATACCAGGACGAAACGGCCGATCAGTGCTACCAGGTTTCTAATGGTGGTCTAACAATGATTGGTTGATGATTTCAAATGTGAAAAAACACAAATCTCCAAAACTCTGCCCCAAAATAACATATCTGTCAAATGCAACTGATAAATGTTTTCCAAAATGTATTATACCTTATTTAAAATAAAAATGAAATTAAACACGAAAACTTTATCAACGAAGTGAATTCATCCGTAGTGTGTCAAATTATTCATCTGAAGAATCAATAATAACTATATCGTCTAACTTAAGTTGAAAGCATCATGTGAGTGAAAAAAAAATTGACAAATTTAACTTACTATATCAATGCCAAAATGGGAAAATTATTGAATTTATTTACATCATGAAGTGTTAATAGTTATTTGATCATTAAAATTCAGAGAGCATTGAAGATCTAGTGAGAAACATGTTGACTGACAAAACTAATACAGTTAATTACTGAATAATCGAAATCATTATTGGTGGCAGAAATTTAGGAACCGACTGAAGTTGCAATTATATTAGCCATTGGATACCAACTCAGTCGTAACAAGCATTGAGAGTTAAAAAACTAAATTAATACTTTTCGTGATATATTATCATGTATCATTGTAAATGAAACAAGATATATATATATAAACATATGTTGCTCAATTTTAGCATCCAATGAACTTCTACCAACCTATACAAAAGTACAAATATCAAATGATCGATTATGCATAGTCGATACATTGTCGACTAGTCAAAGTGAACAAATCAATTTATCAAAAAGTGGAAATCATCCAGTACAACAAAAACACAATGCTAATAATGCAACAACATTGTTTCAACCTGATCCATATTTATGTTCTGCACGTGGATCAGAGGTGATTATGCATCCATTAACGGAAAAAGAAAAAATTGCTGTACGTGTCATTCGTAAAATGCGTTTTTTTGTGGCACGAAGAAAATTTCGTGAAGCATTAAGACCATACGATGTGAAAGATGTGATTGAACAATATTCAGCTGGACATGTAGATATGTTGGCTAGAGTGAAAATACTTCAAACAAGGTAAATAAATGTTTCTTTTCATTAATTCATCTCTTTTTAGATTGAATTTTTTATGATTGTGTCCATCATATATTATCGTCAAACTAAGAGTAAAATTCATTTCATATTAAAATTAAAAGTTGAGATTTGAACACACACCCGTGTGTATACAGAATTGGGATTTATCCAATGTTATGCACAAGCTAACTGTAACATTTGTTCGCTTGTGGTAAATTTGGATTATATTCAGCTTGAGTTTGTCAGAAAAACATATTCTGTTTAAAATTTAAATCTTGAACTTCAAAAACGAAACACCGAAATCGGCTAACTAAAAAATACACGATCAAGCGTGAATTGCAAGAACTATCACTTGATGGTATGTTAGTTGTAGAGCATTCCAACTGCAGGAAATCCCCAAAAGACAATGATTTTTGGTGGTTGACAACATTTTGCTTATTACTTCCGACCACGTAACACACAGCATAGAACAATGTGGTGTCTTAATAACCACTAAGAACTGAAAGGAATTGCACTAATTTCTACTCAGTAACTACTAATGCGAGCATACTAGTCATTCAGTAGGTTCCATTGCCGCCTACATATGTCATTCGTAGAGTTTATGACTTAAAGAATACTAAAAAGAACAGTATTTTCTTCAAAGCTGCAGATACACAATGCTGATGAGCGCGTGTAACCTAGATTCACAACCTTCGATAAATTGCTATCACCTGAGTGATTTCAATGAAATCCAGCCTTAGGTTATTCGATTTTCATCGCGAAACTGTCATTGAAAATCGCTTTTAAAGAATTAGTATTTTCAGGTGTTAATTTATAGAATATGACATAAGCTTGAATGAGTAAAACTATTCATTCTTAAACTCTATACATATACAGCTTTGAAACTAGTTTTAAACTTTTATTTATTAATTTTATCTTTTAGATTAGATCAAATTTTAGGGCGACCTGGCTCAAAAGGTGATGATGTCTACGATTCACATCAATGCTTAGCATCAAGAATTGTGAAAATTGAACATAAGGTGAGAATTCGAAACTTTGTGCGTAAATTTATATTCTGTTTATTCAATTTTATACATTTGCAATAAGTTAATATATACTGCCATCATCAAGCTAGAACGATAATTGCAAATATGAGGAAAATGTTATCGGTAATACTGTCTTAGGTTAGTATACTCTTTTGAATTATATTCATTTAATCTATGATCGTTCAAGGTCTCCAATAACTATGAACGTTCATCATATTACAGATGTGTTGCAAAATAATCGTAATATTTATTGTTATATACTTTGAAGATTCCAAGTTTCATACATGTTTATACAATGTTTAACATACCCCAACAGTAACATTTTGTTAATACAGGCTCTGCATATATCGATCATAACAATAGTAGAAATAATCAACTGAGCATTTGATTGAAACTGAAAATTTCAAATATTTTCATTGACTGTGACTATATTAGCAGTAAAAGTCCTTATCATAGCTACTACTAGAATAGATTAAAATTAAATAAAGTTAATTATTATTAAATAAAGTTTGAAAATGTTTGCCATTTACAATAATAGTTAATTTAAACACCATCTGTCAACATTGTATGTCACTTGAATGTACAATTTATCTGAGTAAAATTTACTGAAATAAAGAAATTAACCTTTGAGACTTATTAATTCAATTTAGAAATAATTAGAACTGTTCTTCAATAATTAGTCCCAGTGACGCGCTTATGCGATCAAGATATAGAGTGCTCTTTTTTAGTTAGCCAAACCTGTTTGACTTTGTGAATGAAACATGATATCAAGTTTGTTTATTAGTTTTCAGATGTTTCTAAATTACAGTTAGATCATTTAAATGACATCACTTATTGTTGGGTTGTTGTGGATAATAGATACTATACTATAGAACAATCCCGAGGTTATTTTTTTCGCCAGAATACGAATACAAAAAGAAGGACGTTGCAAGCAAAAACTATCTAAATTGGAACTTAGTGTTGTCAGTATCTTGAAACAAACCATATAATCAGATATGTAATAATTGGTAACTAATTTTTTCCACTTGATTCATACACTTTAAAAATCTGTTCATTTTAAAAACATTCTCATATTTTAGATTGATGCTGTTGAAATGAAACTTGACAGATTGATTAATATTTTCAAAGCAGATTATGTGTTTAAACATCGTAGTCAAGTCGAAAATAACGATTTCAACGGGAAACGTTCACTCCAACATAATGACAGATACATTCAACAAACTAACTATTCCGAAAAAATGGATCATCAAGGTGAGTGTAGTCGACTTCAGTCAACAACAGGACAACATTTAACACCATTAGAGGATAAAGTGTTTGTAATCCAGCGTAGACCATATAATAATAGGTTTGAGAAACAAAAGCTACCGGCATCAGAAAGAACTTCACTTAATGTCAATTTCCCATTAGCATTAATCAGTGAAAAGTGGAAAAGCATTGATGCTGAGACATCTACAATAAACATTGAAAAACCTGATACCGATACTACTATTACTACTGTATACAACGAGAATAGTGATCATAGGCAAAAAATGTATTCAAAATTATTGGAATATGCATATCATACTGAAGAACCTTCTGGGACAGAAAGACGTAGTTTCCCTTTACAATCTACATCACCATATAATATTATATCAAATAGACAAGCATTGTCTACTTATTCCGAAAGCTGTTTGAAAAAAATCAATGATAATAATATTAAAAATATCAAGGAAATGACACATGATCCTAAAAATAATCAATATCTCACTGATCCTGATGCACAGATTTCAATAAACTATTCAAATCTTTCAAAAAGCATGAATTCACTAATCATTCCTCAACAACCCTCATCTTCCTCTACTAAAACATGTCTACATAGACAAGAAGAGATTTGTACTCCGTTTATTGTAGAAGAAGAAGTAACAGAACAACAACAACAACAACAAGAGAGAAAATCTTTGCTCGACTTAGCTGATAATCAAACCAATACAACAAATAATGAAGAGAACGATAGGAAAGAGAACTCTGCTTGTGATCACGTATAATCTGGTTATCGTTCTTTCTTTCTTTCGTTATTGATCAATACTAATGTTGTATATAAAACATTTTTTTCTACTACTACTACTAATACTACTGAAACAGTTCAGAAATATTTAATATTTTGTTTTGCATAGTTTGTAATTGGTTCAGCGTAGATGATTTTTTTTCTTTCAAGATAATCAAGTCAGTTGAATAGTGGATTTTCAGTTGTTTTTTTTTTGAAAGATTTCCATTCATCATCTATTGGTGAAAAAAAAACAGAACAAAACAGCTTCTTCATATTGAAATGTGAATAAAAAATCTCCATGTTGTATAATTCTTCATTCATTTATTCATTGATCAATAAATAGATTTAGTCTGAACAACAATAATTCAATGTCTTCCTTGAATATGATTGGTTCTTAGTGTGGCGTTGAAATGCAACACAACAGTGGAATATCTTCTTGAATGAAACTGCTATGAAACAGAAAGAAATTTCTTATCACTTTCTACTTCTTTATTTCATGTTCAATATTGTTTGGTTTTGTTTTGTTTTTTTTTTAAATTTTAGATTGATTCAATTTGTATCATAAATTATAAAAAAAACTCCGTTAGGGCAATTGATTGACAGAATAATGATTTGTTTATATCTGCTGTTTTGTTTTGTTTTTTGGTTTCAATGATATTTAGCTATTTTTATAAAAATAAAAAATAAATTATAAAAAATCTATGAATTATTACTGTTTATTGCCAAAAAAAAATGAATTTTAACTGAAAATATACGTTTTAAATTTCTTTTGTAAATAAAAATGATCTTATCATAAGGAAAACAAATGATGATTAGATCACCGCATGTATTGAAAAAATAAGTTGGATAATTGGACAAGGAAATATGATAGCTACATTGGTATGATTCACTTCAAACGTATGAAGATAAATAAACACCAATGTGTTGGCTAAAAAATGTCTTGTATTATGAATCTTTGTTTTTAGAAACATTCAAATTTCTAAACAAAGAGATTTAAGTAAGTAAAATTAAGTAAGTTATACTTCATTTGGATAATGACTATTGAGTGACTGAGAGGTGGAAAAACGTTGGAGAGATGGAAATAATTTTTAAATTTCTCGAAAGAACGGCCGAGTAATTCCAATATGTTACATTTAATCTAAAGTTATCATATATGAATTGTATCAAAGTAGTTGAGATTAATTATTTTATGTCATCATATTTTGTAATGTGTCTTGAAATTGTCATTTATATATACCAGAAGATTTCATCCGACAAGTCTAGTCTTTATGTTCTAGAAAAGATGAGTTTTTGGCAATTAATTAACCATTCAGATAGTGCCAAATATTCAATACATGATAAGTTATTCTGAATTTGATTAAAAATAATAAAAGCACCTTACTGTTCAAGCTCTTATATGTTTATTAAAGAGTTTTATCATTATGTTGTAAAAATGTTTGACTTCATTTAATAGTTATTCACTATCATTTATAACTCCGCCTGGAGCCCTTCTGTAGCTACTGCCGGTCCCAAGACCGGATAAAGAAGGATGGTTGGGCATGAGGTTGGCAACTCCATTCTGTTAAAAACTAACTCGCTAAAACCATCACTAACTAGAAAACATTATTCAAACCAATTTAACTTCGCTCTGGCAGTTAGAACATCTTCATTCACAAGAGTTATGACGACTCATGATGAAAGCAGAGTTCCTTAGGAAGTCACAAGGTCAATGCCCCTTCTCACAGCCAAAGCAACACATTCTTTTAGGTACATGGCATGTTCGAACAATGTGGGAGACCGTAACACTGTTCGGATAAAAGTATACAACCTTTAGGTGCTTAGAATCACTAAAGTGCATTGGATGCGATTCGGACAATTGAGACTAGCTTCAGGAGAGCTGCTGTTATAATCCAGCCTGAGAAGATAGTCAGCATCATACGGAATTCTCATGATGGATTAAACAGCAAAATCATGCACGTTGGACAGCGGACGGAATCATTTGACGTGAAGATGGGTGTTTGGAGAGGTTGCTTACTCTCACCCTTCCTCTTTCTCTTAGTGATCGACTTCATATGAAGATGTCAACATCTAGAGGGAAGCCCGGTATATAAAGGACAGCCAAGATAAAGCTGGAGATCTGAATTTCACAGATGATGTAGCTCTTCTATCGCACACGCATTAACGAATGCAAGAGAAGACAACCAGTCTAGCAGCAATCTCAGCAGCATTAGATCTCAACATACACGAAGGAAAAAGCAAGATTCTCTAATGCAACACAACATGCGCCAACCCAATCATTCTTTATAGACATACCTTGGAGGACTAAAAAACTTTATATACCTGGGTAGCACCATTGAGAAGAATGAACAAATGTTGGGAGGGAGGCCCTGGGCAGAGTAGGTTGGAGAATACTGGTTGGCCGCCTAAGCTCCATTAGGGGTAAGAGGCGTAACTACGTAAGTTAATAATATCATGTATCCTGTCTAAAACTTATTTACATGATCTAATTTCCTACATAGCAAACGTATAACTTAAATTTCAAGATTGTTAGTAATTACAAATAAGATCTAGCCAAAACTTTAAATGGATTGTTGATTGTTCAGAACCTGATAATATTTTTTTTTGGAAGATTATACTGAATTATAGTGTTAGATAATGGTTAAAAGTTAAATCCAGGTTGAGTGTTTTGTCCTATTGGAAACTTATTAGGTGAGTATCACTGCATCACAGTACTAATGACTATTGTGAGATTTGAACCCAGCACCAATTACTTTTGGCATCAACTCAAAACTCCTGAGCTAATCAGTTCAAATAGTCATCAACTTGTTCAATGAGTATAAAGCCTTATTTAGCATTATCAATATAACGTTTTTTAAATTAACTTTACACAATCATTTATTTACAAGACTTATATTTCTGTTATAATCAGAAGATAAAAGCTTCAGCCGACTTACATGAATAATTGAAAGTTTTCAGTAAATCATTGAAAATCTTAACTTTGTATATTATTGCCTTACTGTATGGTTTAAAATCTAGAAAAACTCTTTATTATCTCTGAATAATTAATATGTTAAGACAGTTTGAAATTATTAACAAACATTGGGAAGTCTTGCATGTTAGATATGGCTAATACCAAAAAAGGAAGAAATAAAACTGAATATCGTTTTCAAAGCATCATTTTCCCGCCTCTAAGTTATCAGAAACAAACAACATCAAGGTCTCATTTCAAGCAACTAAGTAATCTTCAAAATTAACAATACAACCATTCAATACCTCTGGAGAAATAGATATACACAAAGATTATCTCTAAGATTTCAAAGTAAAGACTTAATTATCTCATTGAAGCATAGGTAACCAGAAAAAAAAATAAAGAATTGAATCTAAGTAGAAAAGATTTTTTTTTTTAAATAAAATTTTTTGACAAATTAAACAGACTTATTTCAAGCTTTTGTTTCTGTAGTCAATGGGGATTAAAAAAATTCAATCCATAGTCTATGTAAACAGATTTGAATTATCTTTGGAATTATTTCAAAAAGAAATCAACTTGGAACGATCAAATTATTGTCAACATAAAATAGTAATGTCAAAACAAAGTTGTTGTAAGCTCATCGATTCTGTGGTGTTCGGTATTCAATATATTCTCAAACTTTATGTACTGCCAATCTTGATAACCGTTACTAGATAACACCCAACGGTATATAAATCAAGAGACAAATACAAAGCGTTGATTACGTTCATAATCGCACTATACACACAGAGATCAGAAAATCACAGACGCAGGAAGTGAAAATGACATGCGATTGCCGAAGAGCAATTTATTGAATAAGACTGAAATTTATGTACATTAAAACGAATAGAATGAATACATGTGTAGGCGGTTAGTAACGCTCTTTCAAGCGCAACAATAATAAAAGCACAATGGTACAGATTACTTGATACGAAACAAATGACTCCGTTTGATAAATAAATTAATCAAAAGAGCTTAACCAAGTTAATTGAAAACGAAGTTAAGTGTACGTGAGCTGCCATACTGTTAATTAATATAACGTTAACCATACTAAGCCATAATCATGAACGTTGAAACTTCCACAAACTGTTAGCTATCCGTCACTTACTATTCAGAAAAAATTAACATTTTATATATGGACTGTATTATGGACTGATTTAAAAACTAAATGCTACTGAATCGTTATTTCATACTAAGATGATACTTTTAAGTAGTATACACCTGAACACATGTTTGGCATCAAATTCACTACCGTGTCTTTTATTATCAACATTTAACTAACAAACAACTTACTTGCAAACAAGTTGTACCATTTAATTCTATAAACAAAAATGATGAGGATTATATGAATTAATCAAATTGCACAACAACTAATTTATATTTGTGGCCAAATGAATAATTCATTGGGCAAGTTCGTTTTTCGTTTAAAATATGATTTAACCTGTTAGGATGGTTCGCAGAAGCCCCTAGAGGCTCCCGAGAAGCCAAAGCTATTCCCTCCAATCGAAGCTCGATAGGATCCCAGGAATGTCGATGTGGCATAAGGTGATTGGAAGATGATGTTACACCACTCATTGAGGTTGGATTGTGTTTTAGTCGTTCTAGTAGTGGACATAAGAAATCCAAAGTTAAATACAAACAAACTATTTCAATAATTAAAAATTATGATATAATTTTGGTACTTAACTTGATCATCATGCTGCTCTGTTGAACGGTTTTTCTTGAACTGTTCATGAAAAGTGTATGGTTAGATGTTTATAATTAAAATTAGAAAAATACAATCTCACATTGACTGAATCGATGACTGAACATCAGATAATCATGAAGACAATTAATATTTGACATACACTTCCCTTAGGTTAAACAGACAAAATTTTAGAATTAGATTTAGACCTATGGGAACACCGCAGTATGTTAGCGCTTCTAGTGACTTGTGGTTAACTATTAATTTTTATAATAAATGTATATCAAATAACAATTTAACAGAACTATTGAATATTGTTATTCATTGATTTGTTAATACCCAAAGGGGTCTTTAATTACAACTTTTGGGATTCATGACAGAGAATAGCATTTCGAAGAGTCAAACCTTGCAAATCGAAAATAACTAATGGCTAACACGGTAGATATACAATAACGAAACATCTCATTTTGTTTCCTACTCATATTTCTCTGCAAATCTCTATCTCAATCTTTAAATGACTGAACCTAAGGGAGTGAATTAGTTGAGCGTGTCAACCGTTTCACTTATCTCAAAAGTCTCATCAGTGCTGATGGTCTGATGTCTGAAGAAATCTCAGTTTTCAACTAGATTTTGCCAACCTCCGTCACATATGGCGCAGGCAAGATATTCCTTTTCTAAACACAAGAAACGTCTACTGTGCAGCATTTCACTCTGTCCTACTCTATTTAAATGAAGTACGGCCAGGAACAGGAGAGGTGTCTCCGAAGCATTGCTCGTATCCCCTAGGAATATTGAGTAAGTATTGCTGTTCTTAGAATCAGGGTTTTAGTTAGGGAAGACAAATCAATTGATGAAATAGTGAGTCTTCATCAGTTAAAGTGGTTGAGACATGTGTTACGTATGCCTAACCGCAGGCTGCCTCGATGAGCTATGTTTTATGATGTGGGGGTAGGTTTGGAGAAACATAGCACAAATCTTT